CTTATGAGATCGTGTCAAATGTCTAAACATAGACAAGTATTGAATTATCATATAAATTGATGATTATATTCGTCAATCTTTTTATTCATCAGACAATTGTTTATTACAGAGTCATTTATTTTAATGGGATTTAATCACATTCAGTTTAATTGATTTTATCCTTACATCACTGAAACTAGAAATTGAGCCTTAAGTTATCTTAAAAACGAAATTGAAAATTCATTTTGTATTGATTGTTCGACGTTTACCATTGATGTTTAGGACTGCAACTGATCAGTCTCTTATTGGCATATGTGTATCCTGTGCGGATTGCCTCGATATCGCCTTAATTTACAAGCATTATAAGCAGAGATGGATAGTGGCTAACAGTGGAATCCAGTCCTAAACATCAATGATAAGATTCAAGCAAACAGTACAAAAATGAATTAAAACTTCACCTCATTGTACAGGCTAATGGCTATCAGGACTCATTAGCTAAATGGATAACGCGATGACGGTTGAAGTGAACGATACTGGGTTCGAGTCTTGGAGTGAACATCAACTCTAGGATGCAGGGACATCTAACTGACGAGTCCCGAATAGGAAAAAACGCGTACCCTGGACCCCACTGCTTGTCACCGTTCATCTTTGTTTGAAATTAAAAATGTTCACCACTTTCCTTAGGTCATGTGAAGTGAATAGCTAAACTTGATTTTTGAACGTTTTTTACTTTACAACACAAATTACACTCCAGAAGTCAAACTAATCACTATTTTTGTCTATAAATGTTTTAACAGGTATTTGATAAGGTTTTTACATAAACGGTGAGAGTATTTCGTATACTAATTTTGCTAATTAAAAGTCTTAAAGAAAAGCGAGGTTGTAACAAACATTTTAATCACGATATGCCTAACTAGATGGTTGGGTATAATGGAGGCATATGAAGGGTAAAGGGATGAGGCAGGACTAAACATTGGTCATGAGGGTTATTGATGAACAAATAGGATTCATGATCCTAGAATGTGAATGACTATACGTTTTTGGTTGTCTATATGATGGATCTTGACACTAGTGATAATAGGGGTCGTAATAGGATTAATACCATTTCATTTTCTTGGTAATAATTACTCATACTACAATATCAGCTAACCTTTTTAAACTCCTGAGCAGACGTTGTGTAAAAGCAAGTGTTCGAAACCGAATAGATCATCTGGGTTACTTCGACAATTACTATGCTATATCTTTTAATATTCAATTATTTTCATAATAGTTGTTCCTAAGGAACTTGATATTATTTATAATTTAGCTGCCATAATAAACTGATATCAATTTGAACAAGTATATTCAAAATTCAAGCGTTAATGAACGAATAAATCATTCTGATTTAAAGTTTTACAATAGTGTAAATCATTTGTTACCTCTTTTACAATTCTAACTCTCTAACTAACAAGTTTACCTTAGAATGATCGTAAAACTGTAAAATGATTGACATTTCTGAACTTGAATTCATAATTCTAGATTATATTATGATCACCTTAATATTTTGTTAGAGAGTCCCGGTTTATATATGTATCATAAATAATTGAAAATTCCTCAACTTTATAGATAAAAGTATTATGTTTTTTTGTGGAAGTATTCATATGACTTACTATTGAACACGTTGTTGTGTAAATATCATTACAAGCATGTACCTACATTCGTAAGTATACACATGGATCTAAATTAGTATTTATATGTTGATATACTCTACTATCTTATAGACTAACTAAATTCTTATATCAATACTAAATAAAAGATAAATTTAGTCAAGTACTCAGTCTGGTATTCAGGATACTATCATTATTAGTAATATTACAATATTATGAGATGGTAATAATCTCAAGAATTAGTCACAGCTAGAAAAATAAACAATAAGTGGATATAGAGTGGATGATTGATATGAAATAGTTTTATTTACCTAGAAGTGGTATATACACTGAGATTCATAAATACCTTTCTCCATGTTATTAAAGTGTTACCGGCAATAGCCTGTTCAATAATAATAATAATAATAATACTAATAAAAGTTTATTTCTCTTCCTATCCCTCTTTCTTTGTGTGTGTATAGATGTTAAAACATCAATCAAATTTGACAAGAGAAAACAACTAAATAGAACAAAATCAAAAACATTCTACTATAACAAAGGTGTTAGATTGTGTTTTTTTCGAGAAGTTAAAAGATTGTTAAAGTGAAAATACATTTTTCCGAATAAAAAACGCAAGGTTTAAGAAGAAGAACAGAAGTAACTCACTAAAATACACAAGATTTATCATAATGTCATGACAAAATAAGAAAAGTATTTATTCACTGTGTGAATATACATAAACTGGTTTCTTTTTAATGACAAACAAGGTAGTGAGATCCAAAAAAGTAAAGCGAAGATTTCTATGACACAAATGAAACATATGAGTATACCTTGAAAGTGAATAATTCATTCATGAGCAGTAAGGTGGACTGAAATGGAAGGTTGAAACATAGTCAATTAGGATAGAAGATATATATAGGTTGCAAGTAATCAATCATAAATATCTTTAAAAAGCTGTTCATTTGTAATGAAAATTTCAAAGTAATTGTGTTAGGGTTAGATATAGGATTGTGGGTAGAAATGATACGTTGGTTGATGATGACCAGAATATCATCATCTAACGTGGTTGTATAACATGTGTTACATATATCTAATCATTTCCTGAGCCTACGTGTACTACTGAAAGGGATAAAATAGGTCTGAGGAAATCTAAGAATATGGTATCAGTCCACTAATTCATTGACTGGTTAAGCCTAGTTGTGTTGTATTTAGGATCCATAAGATAATTATAATACATGGTTGGAGGCAATGGGTGATGTGACCTAAAATCAATAAATTCTCTATATTACTTTCAGTTTGAAGTTTAATTCCTTTGCATGCACTTGACTCTTCGGTATCATCAGTCCCTAATTGTTTAATCCACACATTCAGTTTTCCACTGAAATTGATATTATTTCCCTATATATGGTACTCAGGCTGTTGATTTTCTCTCTTTGAGCTAATGTAAGGTGTTGCGAATTCGAATAATACACAATTGTAATTGGCACTTTATTATCCATGACAAATTAACTGACATAGATACATTGGATGTAATTATTTCAAAATAAATTCACAAAATAGTAATAGGTCGAATAAAACTTTAGTAATAGTGGACGTACTAGCTGTCATTATATGTTATAAAGCCTTTTGAATATACACGAAGAAACTGGGATTATCAAAAAAATCTGGTTTACAAGGAAAAGTTTCACGTTTGAAGTTTTCTTAATAAATCTAAGAGTAAGCTGGATTTCTGTATGTTAGTAATTTAGGTTTAAGATTGTTTTCAACTTAAGCAAAACAATTGAAACAGTTAGTTCTATTATTATCCAGTGTCTACTCGTTGTTAATTAGAATATTTCCCAAGAAACTTACATTTCAAGTAAAAAGCAGACGACAATATCAAAAAGTCAGCCGTTTACTATCTGCTAGATTAAAAGTTAGTGAAATTTCAGCTAAAAACTTAGCTATACAAAGGACAGTAACCAGTTGAAATCGTAATTAAAGTTTATATTAGTATAGAGTTGTGAAAATCGTTAAATTCCATTGAAATCACGAATCACGTGCGCACTAAAAACTAGCTTCGAGAAGAAGTTTCCGGCGTTCTAATGAGAAGCCATGACCAGTGGAGCTAAACCATGTTTGGTGTGAGAAAGTTGACAACTGAAGGCAATGGAAGATAGTCATGCAACATCGCAGATTATTCGAGGTTAGACTTTTACACTACTGATTACCGTCTCAGTTACCAAGAAGTTGTGTCCGCATGAGAGACTGAAGGTCCTGGGTTCGACTCCCATATTCAAGGTTATAGGTGTGCACTGGTGAAAAGCCTCAAAGTGGAACGAAGCAGCCGTCCTGTGCTTGCACGTTTTCAATGGTTGTCTAGTTTAGATCGATTCAAGATTTTAATGAAATTCAACAATCTAGTATTTACATGACATTTTACTGCTATTATAAAGAATTAGTGAAAATCATATGTAATTAAAGTATTGAAAACTCACAAAGTACATATTTACATTTGACCTTATGATATCATTGATGATAACAATTATTACAGTAATACTAATGATATCATTATTAATTTTGTTTTGTTCATTGTTTAGAAAATAAACTGGTATTTGTACACGTCTAGGTCAAATATTATTCAAAAGTTTGGTATAGATAATGTTTTCTTATGACGTATATTTAAAAATATTTTAATGTTTACTTCATTTTTTTTGTTATTCCGACCCTGATGTTTTTGTTTAGCTTAGTGGTTTGCAGTGATTAGTTCAATATTAAAATTAGGTTTTGTTTTTGCCACAGATGAATGCCAGCTGAAGTCTATAAGGCGCTAGGCAGTTATTGTTTCCCTAGCTTGAGATTCTTCAGCAGTGAGCTTCCATAACCCTACAAGCGACTGAATGCAGGGTCTTTAAGCTTCGTCACTAGTGATCAATTTTCAGATTATGAAGTTGAAACCAGGTTCGAATCAATGACTCAAAAGTTGAATGACAATTTCTCCAGACAATTAAATAATTAATAAGTGTCCCCATGTTGAGATTTAAATCTAACTAAACATGAATTCGGTTGATTTAAAATTGACTTCTTTTTTTTTCATTTGTAACCAAAGAAAAAGAAAATGTACAACAAAATATTTACAGTCGTAATACTGTACAGTTAAAATATCAAGAGGATATATGAGTATGCGAAAAATTTTTTTGGGAAAAAAAACAAAACCTATTTTTCTTCACATGAACCAATGAAAATTAAAAAGATGATTATGATTTTTTTCCCAAGTACAATGGCAGTGAATATACAAGCAACAGTATTAGTAATAATAAAGTGGTTGAAAGGAAATGTAACAGATTAGACAATAAGTTACAATGCATTGAGTTTTCTTTCTTTTTTTGTAAGGAATTAATGCATTTATCAAGTATTTTAATTATCATCATCGTCATCATCACTGATGAAAAAAGTAGGACGATTAATATTATTATTACCATCATCATGATCGAGACGTTGTCTATGCTGTACATTGTATGTTGTAAATGAATTATCATTGTGAGAAATCATTTCGGATTCGTTTTGATGATATTCTGTATATTGGAGTATGGTGTTTCGATGCACTTGGTCATCGTCATCATCATGGTCTTGGTCAATATTCTGTGAATAAATGAAAATTTAAAGAAATAGAAATTCTTAAAAAGAGATTAAACAGTAAGGTAAATTTTGATAATTAGGTTTAAAGTTGATCAGGATATTTCTGTCTAGTTATTCTAACGGCAAAATTTCTTTTGATTTATTATTCATCATATACAGTTATTAGAAGAGAATAAGTAGCGAGATTATGTTTTCACCTATTATTATGTTTATTCAATGTAACATTCCTTTGCATCCATTTGTGCGCTCACTAGTGGCTAGCTTCGAGAACGAATTCTCGGAGTTCTAGTGAGAAGCCGTGACCAGTGAAGCTAATCCGTGTCGGGTAGAGACAGGTATCTGCCTCAGTACAATGGAAGGTGGTCGCACAATTTCATGGATTGGTTGATGTTAGACACTAACACTACTGGATGCCGGCCAGGTCAGTGGTCCAGTAGGTTAAGCATACGAGCGCGAGACTGAAGGCCTTGGGTTCGAACCCCGTGAGCGGGATCGTGGATGCGAACTACTGAGAAGTCCCACATTAGGACAAAACGGCTGCCCAGTGCTTCCAGTTTCCAACGGTGGTCTAACATCAATCGGTTCATGATCTCAATCAAAAACTTAATAATCTCCACAACCCCTATACTGATAAAGACAGAAAAAGTCAGTTTTTACGTATTTCCACTATTTTCTGTTATTTTATGATATTCATTGATTGGATTCGAGAATAAATAACAAATGAAGTTACGTTATTTATTCTCGAATCCATTTTTGTAATACAGTCTTTTCTATTCTCCTATAACTATATATATACGAATGTACAGCTTAAGTAAATGGTTTCATCAGAAAGAAAATCTTCGCTGAATTCTCTTTTTCTTATTTAAAGGTCATGTTGAAAGAAGTCAATGGTAATTAAAAAGTATCATTTGAATAATTCAGTTTACTATCAACTCTCGAAATTTTAAATTACATATCTTTTTTTCACATTACAAATGAATATGGTTGTCTATTCATATGTTTACTAAATAATTACGATTAAATTATGATAGTACTCATTACTACCAGCATAATTTGCTAACACAAAATCATAAAAATAAAAAATCTCTCAATATTGAAAATGATACTTACATAAGACACAACAGTTGCATCATTCTCATCAGTACATAATTCACCTCCTTGACCAGTTAAACTACTATCACCATCATCATCATCTGAATCAGTTAATTGTAAATCTTTTGCAACTAAATCATCATTTAAATCTAATTGAGAATAATCTAATGACTTGTATTAGCTGTGGTAGATACTGGGATTTCTGAAATACCGGCAGAAAACTAAGTATTTTGAAGAAAAAAAAAAGAACGACACTAATAATAATAATGAGGTTGTTGATGGTGGGTTGCATGTTGCTATTAAGACAGATTTAATCATGAAATAAAACTATAATTCGAGTTCATTTGTTTATACATAAATTCTAGTCTCTATTGCTTTCATGATATGTTTGTTATCAGAAAAAATGACTACGCTAAACATTGGAATAAATTCAACCCGAAATAAGAGAAACATTATCTATGTATTGGAAAAGGAGGAGGAGACTATAAATCACTAATTAAAGAATTTCGAAAATATATGCGTAAAATTATGATTCTTCAGTACAATATGGAAGATATTTTTATCGTGACCCTGACGATCATCCTGTGTTGCTTCAGAAGCTCGTAATGCTGAGGAGTTTCAAACTAGGAAAAAACAGTAGACTAGTGCTACTAATGCCACACATTCGAAACGCTATAGATTATTTCTAGATAGTAGATCTTAGCTAGATAACTGTTGAAAATCAGAAAGCGATGTACGATTGTTTCGTCTTAGTATGGGACTCTCTAGCGGTGCACACCAATGTTGCACCGAGAATCGAACCTAGGACCTCCGGGTGTCGCGGTAAGCTCTTAACCTCCAGACATCTGGGTTAGCATGCAATGATTTATGTGTCTAACTGCATTAGATTTGGGATATTGCACAACTATCTTTCCAATTTTATCGGAATAAGTCGGAAATGTAAACGATTGCGTGCCAACTCAATGGTCTGAATGTTAGCCCCCTCTCAAGACCCGGAGGTCCTAGACTGAGCCACTGGCGAGGACATAGACTAGTACTGAAAAGGAGTCGCACATTAGGGCGAAACAGCTAGCTAATATTAATCAACTCTAATGTCTTAACTAACTAAACTTATGCTATCTGAAATTATTTGTTACCTGTTTATTAAGTGGATGACGAAGTAGGCCGAAATAAATCATCGACAACATTCGAATAAGCATAGTGAACAAACACTTAACCTTATTTGCGGGCAGGTCAAATTGCTAATATCACAAAGAAGAGAGGCAGATAAAAACTTCCTGTACACAATACGCAAGGCATAGAGTTAGGATATATTAGTGTGTGTGTGTGTATGTATGTATGTATGTAAATATATATATAGAGAGGATTCACTTAAGGCCATGATGATTAAGAAAAATCAATGTCTAAGGTCAAAAACAGATAAACATAAAATACAAAATATGATTTGTACAAGGTAGGCGGGCTTTTAAAAAACACACAAAGCAACATATTAAGAATAAATGAATAACAATGATAAACAAAATGAAGACAAAACAAAACAATATTATGATAACAGTAGTGATGAATTTTCATTTATTTATATGTTTGTATATAAGTGTACTTAGAATGAATCCATGTAGAAAAACAAACACAGTGACCTTGACCCTATTTTTAAAAAATAGTTTTTGATTATCATCATTATTGTCATTTTATCATTGTTAGTGGAAGTCGTCTGAAGTTAATTTAAGACAATAAAAAAAACAGTGAATTCGAGGTCTGACGCATTCGGATGTAAAGTTCAAACCTCTCTTCATTCGCTTCTACATAGGTAAGTAGGATGTATCACCAGACCGCAAGAACAAAAAAAAGCAGAATATCCCAAAGTTGAGAACATTAACATGCACTTGCCAGGTCAGCGAAGAAAAAATGAAGGAGTATGTGAATAATTAAAACAACCCATAGTGTCATTGAATAAGAAAAAAAATTCAGCGAAGAAAATGTTCTTTTCGACGAAATCATTTACTTAAGCTGTACATTCGTATATATAGTTATATGGAAAATGTATGTCTATAGAAGGATAGAATGGATTGTATCACAAAAATGGATTCGACAATAAATAACAAATGTGAATACATAGTCCTATGCAACGAAAAAACTAATTTGAGATTAGTATGTGTGCAATATTTACACAGAGTGAATACAACATATTTATGCAAACATAGTACTATTCTTCACTTATTGTTTCATAATACATAATATAAAGCAAACGTAAAAATTTCCGACAGATATAATTTGTTCATCATACACCTTAGTTAAGATCATTTTCAAATACAGTTTAAAGTAAAAACACAAACGGTGTTGATTATACCATCTATTTTTTTTAGAGCACATGAATAATAAGAAAAAACTTCGTAATTGTTGTTGTATTTTTAATTTGTATTGATGTAAGTTTGCTGGTGATGATCGATAAACGATTCTAAGACAAGGTTTCATACTAGTTAATGTTTACCAAATATGTAACATTTGTAATTTTGTAATATTATAAGCTACTCGTCGAAATAGTACCCGAGTAATACATATCGAATTAATCAATGTCCTTACCATTAAGCCATTCACATAACATATAACACTGTACGAATGTGATTAACTCCACCTAACATAGTCATTATAATTTTTCTTTTTTATAATCTCTTTAGTAATGTACATTATCTTTATTATGAAGATTTTTTTTATAAATGAAATAAAATAACTTGAGTAGTCTTGATTATCTTTTTTTTAAAATTGGACTTTCTTAGTACTTACTAAAATGAAACTCAATCAGTTGGGAGTAAAACGTTTCCGATGTGAAAAACAAACAAACTATTAATAGTTTTTGACAGTCTGATACAATTCTGTGAATCATTTGTATCGGTGCTTGGAAAGTGGGATATTATACTAATCAAAAATACACTAATAAATGACCCAAATGTTCTATAAAACTTACCAAATCAACAGTGTTTACAAGAAGAAAAAAAAACTAGACCTTCCGTTATGAAAAATTTACAAATATAGAAAACACGAAGTTCAGTGAAGGTGTCTCTAAGTGACAAATTTATTATTAAGCTGTACAATCGTGTATATATATGTTAAAGTACTAGTTCTATGAGGACAAGGAATAACCATGATGGTGTAACCGAGTGATTATAATACTAGATTACGTAATGTGAATAAGAACAACAGACTTAATAGGATATGACGTGAATACCGAAAATGCATTCACAACTAATGTACAAAATAAATTCTGACATCATTTTCTTTTAAGATTGACTATTTATATCAGCTAAATGGAAATAACAGTTTAAAAATAAAAAAAATAAATTTTTTTTACTGTAAACAAATAAATAAATAAACAAACAAAACAATCTGATGGACTGATATATTTATATAAAATTAAGCCAAATAACAACAACAGTGGTTATAATAATAGTAATATACATTTGAAGTAAACATTGGCTTAATAAACAGAACAAAAAAAAATAAAATAAAACCGACTATTTATCAATACAACAAAAAAGGTCATTTCAATAAGTGTGGTTGTGAACTAAGTGTTGTTTACTTGAGAGAGTAAAAGGAAGAGAAAAAAAAACACAACAACAAAGAACGTCTGAGAAAAATTTAAAAAAATGATTGAATCTGGTCAGAAGCGTGATTAGAACAGAGTAAGGTTGAAATGAAAATAAATAAATTAGACAATAAACTATAAATTTCTATTATTCAGCTGGGAGATTACACAATCACTGGGGTATATATATATTCAATGTTGATTGTGTAATAAAAACCATTTTTACTTATTTACTAATTAGTTAACAGAAATGAAAGTAACATGAAAAAATTGTCTGGAAATTCAAATGAGAAGGTCGTTGGAAGGCATACAAAGAGTAGAAAAACAGATTGGTCTGATTTTACAACTTTTACTATTGAATTATGATAGAAAAAGATTGGAAGGAGGGAGGATGAAAGTAGTAACGGAAAGTTAAAATTGATTGGTAATACAATGTCTTCTACATAACTGTTTCATTTGCTTCTTTCAGTTTTTAATTCCTTGATCAATTCATTTCTGAAGTATGGAATTGGTTATAGTGGTCAGGGGGTTCGCGCGAGAATGAAAGCCCTGGGTTTGAGTCTCGTGTGAGGGGTCGTGGATTCGCACTCCTGAGTTCCATACTAGGACGAAACGGCCATTTAGTGCTTCTAGGTTTTCAATGGTGGTCTAACATTGATCGGTCCATGATTGCGATACAATTCATTTCTGTCCCTATTTTAATCCGAGATCTTAATTTATATATAACCTTATATTAAATGTGTTATGTTAGGGGAGAGCGATCATACATACAGGACCGAAAGCAGATAGGTATATAAAGCATTTCGATTTATTCCGTTATTTCCGAGATTTGTATCATCATTTATCCTTATTGTGAACTATTCATGCTACTTGATAATTGTTAGTAGTCTGAGTTATCTGCACATATTTTAGTAACTTCCATGCTGTCAAAGTTGTAACCACTTGTGTAATCTATTTTTACTGTTTTTTAGACTAATCAGTTCCTTTTTATTACTCGAGATTGTATTTCTTACTTCGAAATCTATTGAAAATTATCCATCAGCATTTATAACATGAACTTTGAAAATTGTTAAATAGTTCCAGTTGAAATAATTATATTTTCTGTTATAATACTTGTTAAGCTAATAAATCAAGTTCTTTTCCGATCATGCTTTTATGACAAAATTGACCTCTTGGAAATTTACAATTTGCATTGACTGAAGTTGCACTTGCACATCATTGGATACTGTCTCAGCAGCCTAGATGTCAAGCGTCTACATTCAAGGTCGGAGGTCTTAGATTAGATTCTGGGTTGTGGGCTCATAGATACGCAATACTGAAGAGTCTCATACTAAGATGAAAAAGTAATCAAGTGCTTTAAGGTTTCCAATGGTTGTGTGATTTAGATCGGTTCGTGAATTCAAAAAAATATTGTAAGACTTTACAGTCGTTAACAGTGTAGTTGAATAGGAAGATTTCAGCAATGAATTTGAAATTACTATTTAGTCAACAAAAACAAGTATAATCCAGGATAATATTCAGGTTTCACAGTCACTACAACGCTTACCTGCCTACTTTGAGATAAATGAATTTGAATCCAATGATTTATATTCTGTCAACGTCAATCAACTTATGACATGAAATGAAAACATTAATTAATGTTGTTCATAAGTTAATGTCTCATTTTCAACTTGGTTTACTTAATACAGATAGAAGAATTTCATTGAAAAATTTAATTGATCTATGTAACCGCTAGACACTACTAATATGAGTACGCGGTTAATTTAATTTAATTTCGTGAAATCAAATCAATCAAACTATTGATCAGTAAAAAAAAACAAACTTACTCGAGTTTCTTCATCAATATAAGTAGGAAATTTATCTTGTTGAGAACGAAATTCAATCATCACATCATCTTCAGCATAGTCATTACCATCATTTTCATCATCTTCAACATTTGTTAAACTTGTATATCGGTTCCAATCGTTTGTTTGTCGTGAATTTCCATTGGAATGCAATTCTCGACTAGAATTTAACGAATTATCCACATCGTAATCAGCATAATCATCGACAATTTGATTGTTATCATCATCGTATTGCTGTAGATTATCATCTCCAACTGTATGTTCACTTATAGTAGAACTACGTTCACTTAGATTTGATACAATTTGTCTTAATTGATCATTTGCTACATGGCTTCGACTAGTGGTCGCCTCTTGACAATTCCAATCAAATGAATTCTCATCATGACCAGCAATACTACGTTCCATATAATCTGTTAAGGAATTTAAAATGAAATTTAAACAAGTCTAAATGTGTTATTATTTTCAATAGTGAATCTATGGAAAACACAGAAACTTGAATAATAGTAGTAATAATGATATGAGAATTATGAATGGGGAATAGAAACTAATTATTTAGTAGCTTAACAGTATACATACTCAGTAGAAGGTGAGAAATAGATTATTAATTTGAGTAACCGTAGTATTTCTAAATGATTTATTCTCACATTAAATACGCGTTCGATGATACATGTTAAGTTGGAAATATCAACAAATTTATATGTGTACACTCATCTATTACAATTTCGATTTTCGGTAATTATCCAAACTCAGTGAAAGTACCATGGGAAACTGGGAAGCACTAGATAAGTGTTTCGTTCTTGTACAATATTCTTCATAAGTGTGATCTTTGACCCGCAAGGAATTGAATACAAGATCTTCAGGTGGCGCGGGAACACTTAATCAGTAGAAACATTGGGTCGATGTCAATGGTACAATTTCAACTTCAACCTATTTGTGACATAGCATGACGATTATCTAATGTCATTGGTGACAAATGTTTCACTCCCTACATATTTGAACTTCACTGGCCAAAACTTTAGAACTTTAGAAACATATCGAAGTCATTAGTGTGGTTATAAAGGACTTTTGTAGAGATTATTTTAATGTTAGTGGTATTACAGATTGACCTCAGTTCGGGAAGCACACACTTGAGAAGCCACATATTAGGACAAAACAGCCGTCCGGTATTCCCTGATTTTCAATAGTGTTCCAACTAAGTTCAACCAGGTCAGTTGTGAGATAGTAACTCACTGATGACAATGGTGGGTGTGTCGCCCAATTTCGTGGATTAACTGAAGTTAGACATTACCAGGTTGGATGCCGGCCAGCTCAGTGGTCTAGTGGTTAAGTGCTCGCACGCGAAGCCAGTAGGTCCTGGGTTCGAATCTCACAGGAGGCGTGGTCGTGGATGCGCACTGCTGAGGAGTCCCACAATAGGACGAAACGGTCGTCCAGTGCTTCCAGGTTTTCCATGGTGGTCTAACTTCAATTGACTGATGATCTCAACAACTGAAATAAGGAAGTATTGTGCTGAACAGTTGTTTGTAATGTCATCCATGAAAACTGTCTTCAATCCTTACAATTTCTTAGTAAGGGGTTGTGGTAATTGTTGAATTTCATTGGATTTATGAACCGATCTAGGTTAGAGCGCCATCGAGAACCTAGAAGCACTGGAGTGCCGTTTCAATGAAATTAAACAATTTCCATAACCCCTTAATGATAATTATCATGTCCTCACTAGTGACTAGCTTCAAGAGGAAATTTCCGGAGTTTTAGTGAGAAGCCGTGGTCAGTGGAGCTAATTCGTGTTGAGTGTGAGAAAGTTACTCACCGAAGACAATGGAAGATGGTCATGCAATATTTGGTATTGATTAAGGTTAGAACTTAACACCGTTGAGTGCCAACTCAGTGATCTAGAGGATAAGGTTTCGCGCACAAGACCGAAGGTCCAGGGTACAACATACGGTTGCTGGGTAGTGGATGCGCATTAATAAGGAGTCCCATACTGGGAAGGGACAGCCATTCAGCGCTTGCAAATTTTCAATAGTGGTCTAACTTAGATCCGTCTATGATTCTAATAAAATTAAACTTTTTGTTGATGTTTTCTATTTTAAAAAAAAGCGTAAAATGAATGTAATGAAGACAGATATGAATAATAGGCTTTGTAATATGTAATTTTTCTAGACTATTTTTACAAATCAACAAAGGGAATAAAATTTGTTTTTTTTCTCCAATAACTAGTTTATCGACAGTAAAATACCTCAATATATAATCAAAATTATAATCTGACACAACCATTGAGTTAAACTGATAATTTTAAATGAAGGCAGAATTTTATCGTAATAATAGTGATATCAAAAATGTTTAAGATGTTTAATAGTTAGGCCAACAAAACGTTTCAATAATTGTTGTAAATACATAAGGTTTAAACAACTTACTTGAATCTTCTGTTTGATCAGAATCTGGTTCTTTAGATAAAGTGTATTCATTACGAAGTGATGTAACAGATTTTGAAGTGTATAAATCACTACTCTCTTCATTTATTGTCCATCGCTTTGAAACATTAATATCTTGTTTAGTCGAGGTTTTTCTAAGAATATCATTATCACTTTCATCGTCATCGGGATGATTAACGTTATCCCCCTTATGTTGCTCATCGTCGTTGTCATCATCATCGTCATCATCATCATATTCCAAGTCAACACCATACCAAGCTCCACTTGAACGTTGACGTAACAATCTATCACTACCTGAAGTATTGATAATATCAAGTGTTTTATTCAATGATCTATCAGTTGTTTGACCATCAGAACTATTATAACTAACATCGTAATGTAATGATTCTTTATCAATAGTTGTATTTAATCTTTGAGTTTTCTTTCGTTTTGTTGTTTTTAAGTCTTTATTTTTACATAATGTTGATTTAATAGATTTACGTTTCAATAATTTAGAAACTTGATTAATTCGACTAGTAGTTGACAAAGGTTTTATATGTGTACTTTTTTGATTAGTTTGATTTTCTAACATATTTGAACGAGAATTTATAGGACCATTTTGAAATGGAATTGATTCGGTATATGGTTCATTTTCTAATTGACTAGTAATTAAAATAAAAAGCAACAATAAAATCAGAGGTAATATTAGTACAAATTGGAAAAAAATTGGTTGATATGATATATATGGAGATATAGCAAGAGTTTGTCTATTCATAGGAATTTAAAAGCTGTAAATTTTGTCAAAACTTTAATGTTAATCCAGTTTTTAAAGTCAGATTTTCAAAAACAAACTGCACAATCTATTAACAGTTCACAACGATTCCTAATTATGAACGATTGGAATTTCTTCTAACACAAATAGGGATTAAAGTGAACTCAACAGTATGGCTACTGAAACATGTATACACAACACTACAATAATTACCCTCAATACGATGAAACCCGGGAAGAAGACAAAAGTAGAGGAAAAACCTTGTATTTTTGAAGGTCAAGCAGTCAAAATTGAAATGAAACACCTGTGGTATACATAGTAGCAAAACATGAGCTTGAGAAACGGGGAAATTAGCAAACTGAGAGTGATAACCAATCAAAAATAGTAGAGGTTGTACAAAAATAGAAATCAGAAAACATTTTATTGGGACCGAAGCTGCAGGAAAGACATTAATGTTTGTCAACAAAAATAGGATAGCTTCAGGTTTTCCTGGTAGTAACTTAGTTTTAAACTATAATAATTTTATGATGATGCTCTGACTGCTTAAACAGAACTACATGGCCAGGGTTCAAATCTGTACATGAATCCACATTATAAAATTGTTTTTCAATCACAGATTCCTATTTAAATTTTTTGATCTTTAAGACTAAATATATAGCTTGGAAACAATATTTTAGGGAAATTAATATCCATCCAATCATCAGACATGATCTATTTACTAATTAAACTTAAAAAAAAGAATCAATGAATAAGGTATCGTAGAAACATTTATCGAAAAACAAAGATTTTTCACATGGTGGGAAAAATCAGCTGATTAACTGTTAATAATTGAATTATTTTTAGTAATGGATAACATACGACGCTAGAAATTAGTAATGTCCAATGAGACGTAAAGAGGAAATCTACCCACGATCGATACTACACAACCGAACAATACCTGTTCAACAAAGAACATTATATATATATATATATATATATATATATATAACTAGCTTTCACACTGAAAGTGGTCCCAACCCGAGTTCACGGACTTGCGTTTGGTGAGACGGTTGCATTATTATTATTATTATTACTATTATCTAGAGCTTTACTTGAAATCTTTATATATTTCGTGGCATCTCAAAAAATGAACACTAACAATTCACAATGATCTAGTCATTTTACTAACTACTTCCAATTGAAATAAGGTTCAAATGAAGGTACGATGCTTGCGTCAAACTGTGAATAAGAACAGTAGTATAATGTAAAAACGGTAGTTCCAATTTCTTTCAGCTCCAGCTGATATTCTTCATTACTCTAAGTCTATTCGTATTAGTAAGATAATGAAACAAAAATAGCCATATATAATATCTTATTTTTTATACAAATAAAACCGACTGACCTTCGTATATTTGCTTCAATTGTATCTAGTGTTTCTTTATCTTGTTCTAATCGTGTACGAGCAGCTTGTAACATTTTTTGTGCAATCTCAGTTAATGGACTTTCATTTCCATTGAATGTAATACAATTGGATAGAATTAATTCAATTTGTACAAAGAATTCTTCACGTGATCGAAATCGATTCTCTTTCACTAATTTTTCAAGGGTTGATAAATCCATTGGATTACTGATAATTTTATAATAGTCCTATAAGTGTTTGAAATGAATCAAAATTTGGATAATGATTAAAGTAGGACAATCAGAAAAAGATTGAAGTCAATTGCTCAAAATTAATTATTAGAGAGATAATATAGCTATATTTTTTACTTATATTTTGAACCAATCTAAGCAAAACAATTACCCAAAAGCTGGAAACACTGGACTGTCGTTCTGTCCTTTTATAGAACTCTTCAGCAGTGACCGCACAGGGGACGGAACACAGGAGCTTTATGTCATGTGACAATCAATTAACTTTTAGAACACTGACTCGGCATCTATTGGTTTACGTTTTCTAATTTGAATCAATTTTCAACATTATGTAGCCATCTAATAACAAACGGGAAGTAACTGACTCATTCGACACCTCTAGTCGAAACTTCTCAGTAGAACTCTGGGACTTACCTCTCTAAATCAGTCACTGGTATGTAATAACTTTCACAAATCCCATATGTTAACGAAGGTCCCATCAATATATGTAAGTGGTTGTTGAACAGAACGCAACCAATTATAATTATAAAAATGTCGACACGGATGGTACAATCAGTAGTTCTAAGATGGTCTGTCCGAGGAACGATAGTGAATTATTACTTCTAAAAATTTCTAAGTGTTAAGTGTTATACTAATAGTGTATCATTTATGGATTTAAAAAAAAGCCATCCTGACACTTGGAAATGTCTTTAAAAACGTGCTCCTCAAGGATGCAATCACGTCACAAGTTACTCCATGTAGCTTTAACATTTTCAAATACAGTATTAGCTATGAGATTTGTTTTAAACTGTGCTACTAATGAGTGACTAGTTTCTAATTGTATAATTTCCCATGTAATTGCTAAGTAATAATTCAAAGTCAATTTCAGCAAATGATCACTCATTGTAGAACCATTTGTTATTTATAAATATATTCACACGTAAATATTCCTAGAACGCGATGTAGTCTGTTGGATTTAATCAATTGCTGGTACATTCTTCTGGTGAATCTAACAGTATATGAATTCAAATTTTAGCATAAAAATTTACCGGATATCTTCTTTTATCAACTGGTATATGGAATGGTCTACTATGCTCAACTCCACGCATAGCCTCAATAGCTTGTTGTAATAAATAGCTTAATCCGACTAGATCATCTTCATCCAACAAAGGATTAACTAGTGATTCTAATCGCATTAATTTTAATTCTTTATGACAAAATTGTTCCATAACGTGTGAACACATCTTCATGGCTGTTTCGGTGTATGCACTATAGCGACCTAGGAAAAAAAGAATATTATAGGAAGAAGACAAACAATAATAAATCGAAGGATTAATGCTAATAAGTTATTGCTTAGAAAAAAATTCCGGTTATATTACTATATAAACATATGGACGGGAAATACTCTTTACTGCAGCTGTTATTTCAAATTGACGATCATAGGGAATGACCAAGTATGCGGTAAATATAAATTTAAAAATAAAGGTTATGAATTCGGTATTTGATATATAGGTAGGAGTAGAAACGGGGAGGGATATTTTGTCCTATTTGTAACTTGTCAGACGGTTTAAGTGGTACCCCAGTGTCAACTTCCATACTGAGCTACTGAGTTCAGATAGCCATTAACTTGTTTAATAGAAAATTACATACTCCTACTAATGAATTTGCGATTGTTTGTAGGAGGTTAGTTTGCTGGCTACTGTTTCAACTGTTGAAATTACTAGTAGTATGTACTTTATACTTGAATCAGTTTATAGACCAACTGAAATTGAGAAATTCTTAATCTCAATAAATAAATAAATGAATAAGTAACGTAAAGTGAGGGAGACAGTAATATGGTCAACAAACACATCTAATGTTCGATCAAAGATTATGAATGGTATAAAATGATATGAGATAAATCAGAGATAGTTAAGTAGTATAATGAATTCATTGAGTCTGGAGATATCAACCACTGGGTGTTAACTCAATTTTCTGAAGCAAACGTTCTCTGAAAGGACTGGGTTTGATCTTAAATGGAGTCATGGATATGTACTGGAGAGGAGACTCATGCTACAACGATACAACTGGCTAGTATTCTCTGGTTTTCAAGGGCTGTCTAACTAAAGTCACTCTGCGATTAAAGCTACGAATAGTAAAAAATAATTAAGTCAAATAAATTCCTGAAAACAATGTTTTTCTTTGCGGAAGGAGGTATATGTAATTGTCGAACTGAGTTATCTTATAATCGAATTACTAACACACTTCGTCCTTAACTGGCCAAGTTACGGAAGACATGTCATACATGCTTTCTTTTGAACACATAGCTTAGGACTAGAAAGGTCCTTACAACTTATACTTCTGATGCTTGGACGACTGAACCACATGACTTCAAGATGCTTACACTCTTAACCACAATTAAATCAGTAAAATTTGATGAGGTTTTTCTCAAAATAAAGGATAGGAATCAAACAGTAAATACATACATATTCACATAAAAACAAAAGAGCTGATAAAATTTCCCTAGAATCATTAGAATAGATATCAGATAACAAAAACTACAGGTTCAAATCTTACCGGACCTAGTCTGATTTGGAAAATTCTGAAGTTTCAATAGATCTTACAAAATTAAACTTATTTGCCTTCCACCTATCTTATAGCATAGGGTACCGACCTGGGCTTTTTTTTTGCAGTTACATAACTAAAGGGTGACTAAAAATCGGGTACATAAATCTGTACTTGATATAAAGAGTTGCACCAAATCAAATCGGATATGATATTTATAAATTAATGTATGCAAGGGTATTAATAAATTATAAATATATGCACACACCGGGAATATATATATATATATATATATATATATATATATATATATATATATATATATATATATATATATATATATATATATATATATATATATATATATATAAACATACCATTGAATTTCGACGAATTATTATAAATGAGTCGAATATCTGACAAAAATTCTTCACGTGTGGCATAACTGTTCTCATTAATTTTCATACGTATTTGTGATAAATCCATTGGAGTTTCAATTTGAGAATAATAATTCGGAAAATCTTTCTCCTTAACAGGATGCATAAATATCTTATAACCAGGAATTTGAGTAAGGCCCTGCATATTTGAAAAGAGGTGGAAAGAAAAAAAGAAAATTAAAGCATATTTAAAAGTTGGAAATTACTTAAACTGAAAAAAATGAGACATGTGACATATATAAACAACCACTGTATATAGTCAAACGTAATAATGTCTAGCATAAGAAAATGTTGGAAGAAAGCTATTAATGGACGAAACAAAACGTAGCATAAATCCGTAGTCATTAATTACTGATTTAAGTTAGTAAGTGCGGATTACATATTTAGGATTCACACGAAGATAATTTTTAGTGATTGAGAATGCTATGTGATGGTATAAAAATTAATCAAAGTGGTGAAAATTTGGTCATTTCTTATCTCTTAAATTTCAAGTTTCGGTATTAATACATTCATTACATTTTCTCAAACAATATCTTTTATAATTAGTCTTTTTCAATATTATTGGTAATACTACTGATTTCAAACGTTTGCTATTCATAATTTCGATTTCAACTCGTTATACTGATGTAGTCAGTCAATTAAGGATGGACCATTTGTGTCTGGTTCTATGCTAAACACAACTAACTGGAATATTTAAATTTTGCTGGCTGAAGATGAACATTACAATGAAGATTGAATAAAAATCACACTTCCTTTACACAGTGAATGAAATAGAAATTTGATGGACAAAAACTGAATTAGTGAATAGATGGAGGAGCTGAAAAAACTCTAATTTTAAACCAACGATACACATGAAATCTAGAATGTCGACGGAAATGGACTCATGACATTTTTTCCACTAACTTATGTGTTAAACACTGAAACCAAAAGTTCATAGATGAATCCCTTGAAATAATGGAGAACAAATTTAAAGAAAGATTAATTTATCTCCAGTAGATATCAAAGCAACTACAACGAAATGTGGTTGAAGGACTTTTTAATTACATAAGGAGGATGAATTAAGTTTGGAGAAAACATATATCACGAGTTGTTGACGTTTACACGATTGATCGACCGTTTGCAGATATGAATAATGAACGAAGATGTCATGACACTAGTTCCACAGTCGAGTTTTGATCCAAATCAATGAAAATTAGAAAGGAGCAAATTGCGATATAAATCGTTCTCAGTGACAAGATATATGTAGGTTTATGTAAGGCATACAAGATTTAGCCTATCTGGTTGATAAAACTGAGTAAGAAGTGGACTGATAACTAGATAAATGTCAAATACTTAAAGAAATTAGCCAAAACTTGGGTAATTAAACTATTACGAATAGGTTTTAACAAAAAACAATATTTCTTGGGTAATAGTACTTGGTGACTGAAGTGGGAATTAAAGTCAGGTGTCTGAAATGGAAGTAAGTGGAATCCATACGATGAATAAATGAACTAGGAAGACATGAAAAATGGTCTTGGTTACATATTTATATTTACGGATAGCTAGATTGTGTAGTGTACAAACAGACATGAATATGCCAAGGTTGAACTTGATAGTTTCTAATAAATTGAGCATTGGGTACAGAGTTAATAATAAATATATTTTTTGTTATATCTTAATGAGCAGAAAAATCGTATTTCTGACGTTTCGTGACTTAATGTAAGCCACTTTTTCAGAGTAAATAAAATATAAATACAACTTAATATTGACAAACACAGAATATGAAGAATTCGAATGAAAAATATATTTAGCTCCGAAAATACTGATTTGAGTTAAAAATATATTGTGTAAACTGAGATCATGAGTCCAGTGAAAGTAGTAAGTATAAAACAGTTATCCTTGTTACTAGGATAGAGGGAAGATCAAAGTATTTTTGACAACCTCAAATAGACCTAAAATATGAGAAACAAAAGTCCAATAAATTACCTTGTAGATTCCTTCAAAAATATGATTTAACGCAACACGAGGATCAATACGGCGTCTATTCCCACGGTGTTTAATGCTTGTTGGAAAATCATCATCATTCATACTTAAACTAGTTCGACGATTTCTTCCACCACCACCGCGACCTGTAGTACTCATTAGTCCACGTCTATTTGAATTTGCAGACTGAACAACAGCAGCTGCCGCATCTAAACGATCGAGTAATTGACGGCGTATTTTTAATTTTAGATTACGACGATTTTGTTCTTTAATGTATTTAGTTAAACCAGAGTGAAGTTTTAATTTTGTTCCTTCAACCTATAAATGAAAAAAAAAAGATTGCGTGGGTGTGGATAGAGAACTATGTTTAAATGTTATGGACTAATAAGATATTCAGTTAAAGATTAAAAAGAAATTAAAATAGGAAGTTAGCGGAAATTGTACTCCTTTAAGTCTATATCATAGAATAACCTTTGTTTAGCAATCATTGAAAACCAGGAGGTGGTGAACAGTTATTTCGATCTAGTATGGAAACTGTAGCAGTGTGTAGTTTTACGAAAATGAGAGGACGAAAAGCGAATGTCCGGCGCTTTAGCCGGATCCCAAACCAATAGTGCACATGGGCTCTACTATCCTGACTGAACACATGGCGTATGAACCAATTATTGGTCACCGGCTACCATGGAACTGCGTCTCCTCACGTCCTCCACTGCCTTGTGGGTCAGATCTTTAGGTCAAAGGCTCTGGGTGTGGCCTCCTAAGAAAACCACCTGCTTCGGTCTAGGCAACTACTGGGCAGTATTATAGCCCTCACACAATTAAAATGAAATGACAATGATTATTAGATATACTGCTCTCACACCTATTACAATTCAAACAACCCATGCCCATTTGATAACATTCACTTTTATTATTATTTTTTTGTACTACGTCACTTATCTACCCTCTCCCATTCTCACCTTGCGTATCCTTACTTTTCACCTTATACAGCAGCTCGCTTATGGTGGAAATTCTGTTTTATCTAAACGATCTCGAGTCACTAACTGGTCGAAAATTGAATGCTACTACCGAATACGAATACTGAAACAGTTTTTCTGAAACCACGTGAACCATTCAAACTGGCTTCCTTCAATTTGCGAAAATATATCTGGTGCCCCCTTGTACCAATAATTATGTGTTCAAATAAATAAATAAATAAATAAAACAACCCCATAGCAGGTCTATTTCAACACCAGTTTTTGTGACTAGCTCTTAACATTTAAACCAATGAGGCAGGATTTACTAGTCAACATGTTTAACTTCAAATGATTTGTAATATTGTTCAATAGCTTTTCAGCATCATTAGTGAGTGGGTTGCCTTATACTCAACATAATTGTTGAACTCAATTGATCATGGTTCCTCACGAGAACTTCAGGAATTACCTGCCAAAATAAGTTATTAATGATTATATGATTTCTAATGGTTCTTTAACTAAGATTATTCCATACTCCAAACAATAAAGAGAGAAATTATTTTGAATGAGCATAAACTTATTTAACAAGTCTTTTTCTTAGCTGCTTTCCTTTATTTATATGGTTACAGCAAAAAAAAACTGTTAAAATTACTACAGTTTACGCGTACAATTGGCCATATCATAAAAGCGAGGAAGCATTTATACTTTCAATAAATAATTTCACTAATGTGCTGGTGTTGCAACGAGCGGTGTCCGAATTCTGAAACCGATACACGGTGTGCTCTACGCGCTAACTCCTCAACTGACTACTCGAGCGAGAACATAAGAGTGAGTAAGTGTATTCGGCTACCGAATGAAATGCACAAATATTCATATACATACCACTCTAGTCCTTAGGAAATTGTTCCATTTCTTAGCCAATAAAATGCACTTGTCCTTCAGGTCATTTATGATTGGCCATCCATATCAATTGTCATCTTACAAGTACCATCAAACAAAACATCGAATTCTTACTAAAACTATTATTGTACTTCGACCGACAATAATTGACGTGAATCTTTTTATTTTATTGATAGTTAAATTTTTAAAAGTTTGATGATTTAGTCTGAACTAAGCTGAGATACTAGATCGAACCTTATTATAAGTCGGGTTTCAAAATCAATTTCAACTCATATCACTGAATTCCCTTTCGATAGAGAAAATTTAATCAGTCTGTTAATTATGGTGGTTATTAATAGTTTGATTGAAAATTAATTGGACAACGTTTTAATGGTGAGTATGGTTTATAACAATGTACAAGAGTATAAAATTATCAATGTATAGAATGGTAGTTTAGCGATTGCACAACACTCAAGCATTTGATTGCAATTTTGAGATCTGCTCCACAATTTACATAGGTTTGGAAAACCGGATAACGATAATAGCTGGCTTTTACTTTACCTCATAATCAACGGTAACGTCTCAAACTATGAATTAGGATGACGAAAGTTCGGATCCTACAGAGGTTCCCTCGAAATTCCATGTACACCTTATTGACGAGTGTCAACTTGCACGAATCGTAATCTAGGGTTTCCTATTGACTACTTTCAACCAACTCGCAAAACCATCAACTACTCTGACTGATAAGTTTTGTTAATTAAGATCCAAATAATATCGAAATTAGATTAAACAAGATTGATATACACAGGTCAATGGAGTTCAATAAGGCTATATGTAGGTAGATGCATTGTAAAATATAATACTTAACGGTGAAATACATTGATTAATTATTCAGTCTTTCCTATAATTACTTTATTCAGGGTTAGTAGTATTTTTCCCCGAGTCGATTCTTATTAAACTATATCGTGAACAAGTAAACAAATGTAAAAACGCGAAAAAAGACACTAACCGTCATATCATTTTCTCCTAAAACTCCATGCATAGATGATTCATCAAAATCATCTGAATCTTTACTTAAATGTTTAACATCAGAATTATCTAAATCATTACTATAGTTTGCTTTCTCTTCCTTTTCTTGTTCTGCTAATAATTCACAGACTGGACGAGAAGCTAATGCTTGAGCTGCGGCAATAGTATCTGGTTCAATTTTTCGACTATTACCATAATTTTCTAAGAAACCAATTTCTCTATCATCTGATCTAGATTCCAAAGAATTTAAATCACCAGAACGAGACATATTACGAATAGTTGTTTGTGTACGAAGTTGAGCACGTTCTGCAGCTGTTCTACGAATTCCTCCTTCATTATGAAGAGATGATGATGTATTAGATCGTCCATACATTGGACATTCTTTATTGGTACGCATATGACCTAAATCATTGGAAACAATTAGTGAAATAAATAATCATAAAATCATATAAGATAAAGTTTTGATTTAAAGCTTCTTAACTGAGAATCGATCGAAACTAGAAGGAAGCCATCGCTGAATCACTCCAATTACAATATAGATAAGACCTTAAATGTTGAATTATTTTATAAGAATTTGAATTGATCATCAGATAATAGAAACAATATGACCAATATCTTGGGTGTTACAAATTTGAGATATACGATCTTTATAGTTAGTTACAAGTAATTGAATTAAGTAATCTATAAATATACCTATCTCACAATTGTTGTATATACAGTCTCTAAACTGTTCTAAATAAACAATTCATTATGATTAGCATTTCATATAATTTACAGTTAAGTGAAAGAGGAACACAGCAACATTTATTATGTCAATGTAAATTATAATGACTTTAAAAATAGTCAACTGGATGAATACGAATTTAATGAGCATCTTTGACATTGAACACCTAGTCGAAATATATGTATCTGCTAAATTAAATTAAACATTAATTGATCTCTATAAAAAAGAATTTCACCAGAGTTTAATTATTTTGTATAAATTATTGATAAATCAAGACAGTTACTATACAAATACTTGTCTATATTGGGCATATAGTATCATTTACTGAAGTGTTCCATAAATCTGTAATTAATAGTTCTCCCCGATCTGTTCAACAACTCTTGAAAATTGTTATTACGACCTTTAAAATGTGAATTAACGAAATCGCTATAGTGGACTACTATTAAACGATAATCATAAAGTTATTGAAGCCGTAGTGCTTTTTATACATGGTCTAATAATTCACTGGAACACCGTTAATATTCTCAGTTTTAGCTTCACATAATGTAAGTTTACTAAGATTTATGCCAAGGTAGCTTGCATAGATCACGTTATTGTCGCAACGCTACATATTTAACTGAACTTTGATCAGTTTTAATTGGATGTGTGCATCCTGTGTGAATTGGCGCGATATAGCAATTGTCAGAAGTTTATATGGAATGGGTGGGATGTATCTAGCAAAAGAAACCAGAACGCACATTTCGTTCTATTTGGGACCTGTCAACTGGGTGTACCTACATCCTAGAGTTGATGTTCACTCCAGGATCCGAACCTGTGTCTTTACACTCCAACATGTTATTCGTTTAGCTACTGAGATCAGATGGTCAGTCACTGGGTTTGAGCCCCGTGGAGTGAACATTAATTCTGAGATGCAGGCACGAACAGTTGACGAGTCTCTTGCAGGATGAAACACACGCCTTGGATTCCGTCGATAGCCATATTCCGTCTGTTTTAACTAAATGAATAATCATATATTGAATGCCGCACTTAAAAAAACAGTCCATTTATTTATTTGTCATTTAGTTTACTAGAGCAGTTTAGATTAAACAAACTTTTTGAATTAGATACCTTTAGAAAACTATGAAGTAAATCATTTTATTCTTACAGAAAGATTTTATGGTATAACTTGCTATTCTACGCATTCACGTATATTTGTTCGATTCTGGTTACTAAAACAAATCTTCTTAACCTTCTGCTGATATGTACTCCGCTTCCGATTGGTGCTACATACTACTTATATCTGTGAACATAAGCAGCATATACCACAAAAAGGAGCTTCCAGTTAGTAGATATAACATTTACTTCTAGCTCATTTCTATCGGTTAATTTGGGGAGGTAACCTAATTTTATTAATCCCTGTAACCAATAAACATATATGAACAAAATGAGTTAAGCATTTGTTTTAATGACGTTATACAACATTATGATGATTAATATCTATTAGATTGTAATAATATGTAATTTAAATTTAGGAACACAAACGAAAATCCATAGAAATTTATTACGCGAGAATGCGTAATCTCGATTAAAATGTGAGTAATTAAAAACTAAACAGACTAAACGATATCTATCTAAATTGTACAATGAAAGATACGAAATAACAAATGGTGTGCATATTACAAAACTTTTTATTACCTGTTTGACCACAAGCACCGCAACGCATTTTAATTAATGCTTCCGTAAGTGTTTTATGACGTCTATGACGGTTTACCTTGTTTGATAATCCTAAGGATTTCATACCTGGCATGGAATTACCAGTGACGCCGCCACGTTCTCGCATTACTTGTTGTTGTTTACGAAGGCGACGTAGCTGATCCTTCAAATAAAAAAGAAGTAAATAGTGAGAGGGAAGAGTAAGCATATATTGAAATAAATATTAAGAGCAGAGATTAAGAGTGGCACATCACCCAAAGTATCTAACGACCCACTAATTAGGTGCAATCACCAAAGCAGTCTACAACTATTAACATTGCTCAGTACAAAAATTAATGATTACATGGACTGATATTATTGTCTTGGTTTAGTGTCAAGTTATAGGGGGTAGTTAGGCTAAATACATTCGACGTTTTTTTTACCTGGGTCTTTATTTCTTGACCTTAAAATTTCACAGCTTCCTCTATTTATGTTGTTCATTAAAGTTTTACTAGTTTACACTGCTTGTTTAGTCTCGAAATACAGTACTTAGTCAATCCTTATTAAACTCTGATATTCGCACTTGACATAGCCGTGTTCTTTGTATCTTGTGGTATGTGTTGCAAATTAATTCGTATTCACTTATTAGAAGGATAGAATATACTTTCTGCTGTCTTTTCCAGCGTATCTGACGTCTGAGCACTATACGATTTGATGTCATAAAATTCATAATATTTGTGTTAGAATATGTGTTTATGAGAAGTTGCCTACGCACTATACCCCAGATCGGTTGGCCAAACACTATCAGTAGCAACCTACTGTGGCAGTGAACAAACCAGGTCCCAAATGAAGAGGAATTTAGGAAAAAAGGTTTGAATTGGATAGGACATAGTTTACGAGGATCACCAAACTGCATCATTCTCAAGGCAAAAGGAAAAGAGGTAGACCAAAGAACACATTACGCCGGGAATCGAAGAATGAATAGCACTTGGTAATAGTTGGACAGCAGAACCCAAGACAAAGTTGGTTAGAGAATCCTGGTCGGCGGCCTATGCTCTACGAGGCATAATTAAATAAGTAAGTAATCACATTTTCACACAGATCTCATCTTTTAGTTTCACGAATTTACGCATAATTTGATCATTTGGTTATGATCTTATGATTGGTTTCTAGGTTTAATTTGGTAGGAAGGGAAAGACTAGTATGTTAACAGTTCATTTTGATATTTATTGCTTCAACAACAAAAAAATAAGTAGCTGTGCACTTTTGCTTTAGCTATCTTATAGAGATACAAAAAAGAACGTTGCGACATACTTGGGATGAGTAGCTATGGTTGTTAATGTTGGATAGAATAAAATGTAAAGAGGTCGATAAATTCTATACTGGTAGCAAAATCCTACTAATATTATTTACGAATATGATCTAAAAGTATTTGGTTTCTTAAACGCTTTTAGTACATAGTTGAATAAAACGTTTGCTACCGTCACAGAAAATTATTTAACAAAGTATCTTAACGATATTAAATCCAGATTAAAGGAAAGTATCGAACAATAAACACAATTATTTTTTAAAAAGAAACGATGTTTGCAGAATTTTATGTTTTTGAAATGGGAACTAATAATCACTGTTTAATATGAAATGTCTTTCATATTAAAACTTGGTTGCAAAAAATTACCAAGCATTTCAGCAGTAGATATAGCATGTACAACAGAAAAGTACAATCCTCATGAGAAACAAAACAGAATACTACATTAGTAAAGTTGAGTAGTAGCTGACAATGTAACCTAAAATGTGCATTTCGTTCAATTTTCGGACTAATCAGATGGATTTACCTGCCACATTCTAATGTTTATGTTCATACTGGGACACAAACGCATAAACTTTCGCTTTAAATACAACTATTCAAATTTACTAAAAACTAGTGACTATAAGGAAATATCGAGATATGTATGGACATATGCCTCAGAAAACTGATAAATTATAGTTCTTTACGTCAACAAACGGTAAGATAAAAACAGTTACAAATGGAATAATAATATTAATTTACAATAATTTATTACTTGTAATCTTCTCTTTTCTTTTCTTTGTTGTTCACGGAAATGATTATCTGAATCGACAAAATTATGAATGAAATCATCATCACGAGTTTGACGTATTTTCAAATAAATTTCTACAACAGGTGACCATGGAACAAGTTCTGTTCTAGTATATTGATGTCCATCTTCTGAATAAGTACGCATAATACGTAACATTTTTTTATTAGCATTCGGCCATGGTGGTGTTAAGTCTAAAATTGTACCAGCTGCAGTAGAACTAGCATCATACACCACACTAGAACTATTACTACCGACAACGGAAACAGTTTCACTGGATTCCACTCCGTTACCCGATAAACTATTCTCTTTTAATAGAAGTTGGTTTGTTTTACGAGGTCGTTTCAGTCCAGATGATTGATCCTATTGAAAATATGGGATAGATGATTTATGATAATTAGTTAAGTTATTTTAATATTTTATCGCATAAATACTAGGATATTTATTATTTTTATGGTTTAAATCATAAAGTGAATTTAGCTAGACTACCATCAAAAACTTGGGAGCACTTGGCGGCCATTTCGTCCAAGCATAGGACTTCTCAGCAGTGTGTATCAAATGCACCTCAACTGGGGATCGAACTCAGGACCTTTGAACTCGTGTATGAATGCCGGCACCTAACGATTTTTATGTTTAACTTCAATCAATTCATGACATTGCCAACTCAAGGATCTAGAGGTTAAGCATTAGTACGCGAGATAGAAGGCCTTGGATTCAACTCCCAGTCACTGGCTCATGGATGAGCGCTGCTGTGCAGTCTCATGCTTGAACGAAATGGCTGTTTAATGTTTTCAGATTTTCGTTGGTGATCTATCTAAGATCGGTTCGTAATTTAAACTATTGAAAATTCTACAATCTCTACAAAACCCCTCATACTAATATTTTATTTTCACAAATATAAACTAATGATATCTAAAGTGAAGTAAAGGAATAAAAATTACGTTTTAGAAATGTATCCAGAAAATGAAGACTAATCAACATCTCTTGATATTTATGTTTTTAAGTGACAGTTAGAATAAATATTTACTGATCAAATCAAAGGATCTAATTTGCTAGATAGTACAATCAGGTCAGGCACGCACTTACAATAAAACTAAATAAACAGATCCTAAACAAATTAATTAAACCTACCTGCATTAATAAATAAACTAAAAAAGAAAAGAATTTGAAACAGAATTTACTTACCCGTTATGTGTCAAATAAGAAATGTAGTTTAGTTCAGTAATCAGTTATTAATTTATCAGTTTGTTTAATGAAATTAAAATTGTTTTAAAAGAAAAAAACAATAGACAATATATCTAAGGAGATGCTTGAGTTGTTCTGGTACATGTAATGTAAAATCTAATAATAACTTTTTGTAAGCAATGATGGGTAGTGGTTAACAGTGGAATCCAGGACGTGCGTTTCGTCCTACTTGGGACTCGTCAGCTGGATGTACCTACATCTCAGAGTTGATGTTCACTCTGAGACTCGAGCTCAGTACTATTCGCTTCAAACGCCATCGCGTTATCCACTCGATACTGAGTCCTGATAGCCACTGATCAATTTTAGTCTTAAACTTCAATGGGAATATACAAGCCGAACAATACCAAGTGAATCTACTAATAACTGTTGAGAATTGTTCAGTTTAAAATAAATGAAAAGTGAATTCTTCAGAAAAATGTAACTGAACTTACTCCAGATTCTAAAGCTCGTTTAAGATTGACACGATCTTTTTCATCAGTTTTACCATCGGCATATTTAGAATTCATTTGACTTGATAATACAGATTCAATATTACGGCTCATATGTGCATAAGAACGAGCAGTTGACGATAAACTCGAAAGGCGTACACCTCCAATTGAATTACTTGTTGTACTAGAACCATGTGAACCTAGTAACGTGGATCTCTGACCACTATCAGTCCCAGTGACTTCATCTTCGTCATCTTCACTGCTCACTTCTTCATCGGAACTTAAAAGTTCGGAATTCGATAGGACACGATTTTGTAAATCAAATATACGTTGACATTCTTCTTTATAACATCGAATTTGTTCGCTAATTGATAGACGATTACCACGGGCAAATTTAGCGGACCCTTCTTCTTCACCTTGTTTAGCTCGTTCTGTTGACGTGAAACGAACCATGTCAATAATTTCCCAACTACAATATAACATAATACAAAATGATGAAAGGGAAAAGAGAATAAAAAAGTATAAGTAAAACAATATTTCCAATAAGAGAATAGACCATGTGAACAAAATACAGAAGTTAATATAATAGTTATTTTTATGTGGAAATATAATTGCATGTCTACAGACTGAAGTGTGAACATAAGTAATACGTCCACTGCCTAAAATGCTGACAGTATTAATAGTGGATATCGATAAGTGACAATTAACAACCAAAAGAAGAAAAAAAAATATTTAATCGAAAATAGCCTTTCGTGAATTATAGAAGTCCGAATAGTTGTATTACTTATCAGTTTGTTTAGCTAAAGCAACAGTATCTAGTTCTCAGGGCTAGATTATTTGGATTGTGTGATATGGTTTTTATGATTTAGTTTTGACCAGCTTGTTTATATTTCTTACAATTATATATATAATGGAGAATCTTTTTAGTTCACGTGGATGTTTTTGGTCGTGTTGAGCTCTACTTTATGTAGAACTAGGTGTTGAAGATGTTTCCCAGGATGACAATGAAAGCTCCCTGATAAAAAACATCTAGCTCGGAGAACTCAACGCTACCAATATACACATATATATTGACGAGATTGGTACAGAATAATATGGATTCATTATATTTCGTTAGGTTTTCATCAGCTACTTATAACCTATAATATTTTAAAATCAAAGTTATCATAGAAATCGACAAACTTATACATGCAGAGGTGATTAGGGATGAATATGTGCATCATGATGTTGCGAATTTCTCAGTAGAGTTAATAAGGTCACAAAAAGTTTTGTTTCGGATAAATTAAGTGTGAGACGGAATATTCGCTACATTATGATGTACATATTCATCTCTAATCACCTCTGCATTTATAAGTATGTCAATTTCTATGATAACTTTGATTCTGAAATATTATATTAGGTTGTAAGTAGCTAACGAAGTAAAATGAATTCATGTTATTCTGTACCCATCGTTGTTTTTGCTCTCTTCAGGATAATGAAGCGAACTATATGTATGTTATATATATATATATATATATATATATATATATATATAATTAATCAATACATTAAGTAATAAAAAGTTTTTATTCTTACCGTTTGAAAGTTTTTAAATCAGCTTCACTAATCCCAAATGATCTCAATAAAGCACGTGCATCGCGTAAATGTAGTTTACGAAGATCAGCATCAGTTCCTGTCACAGTACGTTTCCCTTTTAATAAACCTCTTGCAACTTCTCCACCAGCTTGCCGAAACAATGCACCAGGTTTTGCAGAGGTTTTCGAATAAGAAAACGCCTCACCACAACCAGTAGGATCAGCGGCACCATGCAATTCGAGAAAACAACCACCACGTTGTGAAGCAAGATAAGCACGTGTTGTATTCCATGGTGCTGCTCTTACTTCATCCTCCATTTTAGGCTTAACCAAAACAAATTAGAATTAAATAACAGTAATACCAGAACAAAAATGAAGAAAACATTCACTGGTAGATATTGGTGGGGTAAAAGTTTAACCGAATGTTACCAATCGACAAAACAATGAAAATAATTTAAACGGTATCAAAGATCGCAATATTGAAATTTGCACCTAAATAAATGATGTTTTTATCAAGCATTTTTAATATACTTAGATTTTTTATTTTGTAATTATGTGAAAAAAAATAGGACAGATATTGTCTTTCGAAGGTATTTATTTAACTGTGAAGTAAAGGGTTCGATGGGCTTGTTTAAATTAAAACTCATATCTCATACAAATAAATTGTGGAGTTGCATTTCTTTACAATAACAGTATGTACGTAAGAAGTGACATGTCACAAGTATCAGACGAATTCTTACCTTAGGAGTATACGATAAATAACAGACAAAACTCCACGTTCCATATTTTTACGATAAACAGTTTTGTTACTCATAAGTAGTTAGTTCGCAAGTATCAAATGTTAACCGCACAGAAGTATGTGTTATGTAACACGGTTATTTAAAATGTGATTTATATCTGACAAACGTACTTCAGACAATTATTTTGTGAATTTAGAGGGAAAAAACACAACTATAAGTGCAAATTATTAACGTCAAACACTAATTAGATAGTTATTTGTTGAGTTGAATCACAAAGAAAACGCTTACCGCATTGCCTGTTCCAGTCTCAATAGGGAAAAATATATGTAAATTTCCATTTTAAGTAAGTGATAATAACTATAGCGAAATAACAGGACTGTAAGAATGCTTGTATTATTAAAGCAAGTATAATTAAGTCTTAGTTTAAATATGATAAAGGACTGAGAACTTATTCCGTTGAAATGTATGTTTGAAAATTACAACTGAGATCGAGACTACACAACTGTTCCCTATCTTCGGATGAAAGACTCATTTCAGTGACTCATCTCTGACTTCCTAAAGGGCCTAAGACTGGGTAGGAGCTTTATGGATAGCTGATGGGGAGCTAATAAGTTGAAATCTAATGATTGAGATTCCTTACTTTAGTTAACTCATAGCATGATAAAATTATCTTCCAATTCACATTACCAAGGTTTTATAAATTAGTTAGGTAGGCAGGTCATATACAAGGTGTTAAATACAACCTAAATATTCCCCAGTAATTTATCAATTGGCTTTGAGTTTACAGAAAATTACGTAAAATAAATTAACTTGGATGCATATTTGATGATTTCTGGACATTTTCATCAGCAACTTAGGTTTTAGGTAATACGGATGACGATGGCTTAAAAGAATAGCAACTGATCAATAGACATACCTGTCCTTCTTTGTCTTCTTCTTCTTCAACTTGATTTTCATCTAAAACAAATAAATACTTTTCACCGTAACCAGCATCTTTAAGACGTAATTCGGCAGCCAGCATACTGTAATGTGCACAACAATCTTCAGGTGAGACCAGATAACGAACTTCTTCTTCTGACGGTAATCGATAATCAGAGCGTAGAACCCACCAACTTGCATCTGAACCTGTTTTTTATTGTTAATTTTTGGATAGAACAATATAAACAAATTTTTGCTTAAAATATAACTGAACAATAACACTGATTCCACATTAGCCAGTTGTATTACAGTCAGTAAAAAAAGAAACTGACTCTAGAAGCATATTTTGATCTTGACATAAATATTGTAAAAAGACTTCAGGCTACCTAGTTTTCCTGTGTTAATAAATGATAGTTCTTGCTCGTAGTTTATGAGTGATAACATTCATAATTGTTATTATTTGTTAGGTTCTTCGCACTTTCGGTTTTCTAAATTTATTGTATTACTACTACTACTACATATAAGGAGCTATTCAAACATAATTTCGACTTCATGAATATCAAGCTTATCCTAAAACTCCTAACTTCTCTTATGTACTGAAGATTATTGTCGAAGTGTTATATACCAGTCGTTCGGCCTGTAGAGTTAGTGTACGTTCAGTTTGTATTAGAAAATCCCCATTGTTCGTAATTATTAATTACCGTATGAGATCTCTCAAATTGACATAATGTCAGTGTGTTATTTTCAAAATCATTCAGAAAGTTGAAAACACATAAAACCATACATAGAACATTTGTTCAAAGTTTAATAACAACACTTTTTATGACTAACTGCTTCCATCTTCTAACAGTTAATCAAAGATCAGGATTTTTGAGAAAAAAGCAATGTAAAGTAACTCGGATTCTGTGTAACTGATATTCAACCATCCATGTTTCATTGTTTCAAATAAGGGATGAAATACACCAAGCAAAATGGAATAACAATAATGTGTAGAAATAAACAATAGCGATCATTGATTTTACAGTTTATATTAGGAACTAATGTTAGTTAGGGAACGACTGAAAAGCAGGAAGCATTGAAGTTATTCCGTCCTAGTAATGTACATTCACGACGTAAATTATGCAGCGACAATCTCCATAAACTCCCTAAAATAACGATTATCATGTGTTCACTAGTAACTGATTTCAAGGTGATTTCCACAGTTCTAGTGAAAAGCAGTAACCAGTGGAATCCAACTATGTCGGATGTGAGACAATCGCCCACCAAGTGAGTTCGAAGTTTGTTAAGCAATATCGAGAATTAATTGAAGTTAGGAGTATAAACCATTGTATGCTGACTTAGTGGCGTAAAGATTAGGCACTCGCCACGATACCTGAAGGTTATGGGCTCGACCAACGATGGAGTCATGAACAAACACTGCCAAAAAATCCCAAACCAAGATGGAATAACTGTCCAGTGCTTCTTGTTCTCCAATGGCAGTCTGACTAAGACCGGTCCGTAATGTGGACTAAGGGATTCAGGCAGAGATCACAAAACCCCTATAATGATTACTTACTTGTGGAAACTAACAAAATAGTCATTGAAAACTCAATAACAGTGTTAGTGATCAGCGGATAATAAAACAAAGTCTATTGAAAACGATATTATTAATAACAATGACGTACCAGTACGTTTGAAATCCGCACAAACTTTCAGTCGTTTTCTGACACTGCTTTCTGAATGATTAGGAAAAGCTTTGCGAATCTCTTCCATTTTAATTCGTTTCGGTTCATCGGTACTACGTAGAAATAAACGTAGAATAAATACTTGTAGAAAATCCCGTACAAAATTATTTGCACGTTTTGAATTTGGTCCAGGAACCTCCATAAGCGGAACTTCTTGTCCTACAGTAAATGCATTTGGTACACGGCGTATACTGATTCCATTACGACTACGAATCATTAAGAAATCTGTACTGGCAACAGTATGTGGATAAATTGGTGCACGAAACATACTATTTTCAACAGTCTGTGAAAAACAAAGGAAAAACATATGAAATGTGACAACTGAAGTGCAGTAATGCAAATATCATGAATTTGTAGAATTACCACTAATTTGGCATGTTAATTTCAGTAAATATAAAAAGGTATATGTATGTGTGCACAAAAATTGATTAGGAATTAGTAAAATTGGACATGTGCCAGGCCATGCAAAACATTATTAATCATCTTAAGCCGAAAGAAGTAGTGATCGCCTCAACCTAAGACCAAAACCAGTAGGAGTTTGCTTGGAACTTTAAAAATTGTAAATTCAGCTCTATAGTATAGTACCGATAACTGATTCTTAAGGTCATAGTGAATAAAATTAAGTCAATATCCAACTTATTTTCACTCCACTCATGATCTGTAAGCAGTGATCTGAAAAAATCGTTTTATGTTTGTTCCACTGTGCTTACAACTCAATTGTCAGTATCTGGAACATGGAGTAAATTAGGATAGGATCGAATTAAGTTGCACGGAATTATGCCTAGTAAATGAACTATTCAGTTGAAAGACATTAAAGTTTTCTACTTTATAATAATTTTCTATTAAATATTATCTTATATTTAGACAGCATACGCCTACGAATGCACTAGTGTGGCTGAATTTGAGGAAAGACATCTCTACCTCTGAAAATCCTCCAATATTGTCACTCACCACCACCAGACACGTCAAACTCACTGCCTTCTCGCGGCAGCACCATTGTTTACGAAATTGAGAAAATAAAAAGCGAATAACTGTCGGCTTCCACCACGTTGTTCGGTACAGACCGTCCACACAGAAGAGTTGAAAAATCTTGATTCCAAATCAATGGTGCACATGGGTTACACGATCCTGAGGGGACAAGTGGAATATGAGCCTGTTGTCCGTCAACGACTACCATGGGACCATGTGTGCTAAGGTTGCTCCACTGTTTCGTGGATTAGACTTCTGGTTCAAGAGATCAGTAAGTGGTCCTCTAATCAAACCAACTATTTCGGTTTTGTCATTCGAATAGTGTCCCAGTGCGCACAGACAAATAAATAATAACTAATATGTGTGGCACGTATATATTTTGGTGCGTTTTTGTACTAATGCTTATGCGTTTAAATCAATAAATATTAAATAAATAACGTACAGAGAATCATTCCAACTAATTAGACATTACTATGTATGTAGAAAAGTTTTTATTTAAATAAAATGAGCTTTTTAGAATAAATAATTAATTAATTAATCCACGATCCCGCACCCAACGAAATCCGAACCCAGGACCTACTGGCTTAGCTCGCGACCACCTAACCACTAGACCACTGAGCCGGCATCCAATGGTGTTAATGTCTAACTTCAACCAATCCACGAAATTGTGCCACCATATACCATTGTTTCAGTGAGCTGATATCTCACAACAGACCTGGTTGAACTCCACTGGTAACGGCTTCAACCAGGTCTGTTGTGGGATATCAGCTTACTGAAGACAATGGTATACGGTGGTGCAACTTCGTGGATTGGTTGAAGTTAGACATTAACACCGTTGGATGCCGGCTCATTGGTCTGACGGTTCTGGGTTCGAATCTCGCAGGGGACGGGATCGTGGTTGCGCACTGCCGAGGAGTCCCATACTAGGACAAAACGGCCGTCCAGTGCTCCCAGGTTTTCCATGGTGGTCTAGCTTCAACTGACTCATGATTTCAATCTGTGAAAATTTCTAAAATCTCCACAAACCCCTTCTGAAATTAATTAATCGTTAGAGATGTTCTGAGATTTAAAGTTAACCCATCAGAGATATCAAAGTGGAATTCTGAATCATAAAATACATGGTATTACTACTACTATCTCTATGAGTACATTAGTTTGTGATAAATAAAAGTGAATGGTTCCCATGTTTGTACTATCCATCTGCTAATGCACAGCCTTACTTATAAATCAATTTGTAAGTTACCTATTATAGTGAACAAATTACCCAGTCAGTCAGTCAGTCAGCTACAACGTAGGACCAGGCACATATGTGCATCGGTCCAGGTTGCCATACCTCATTAGCACAGCAAGATGAACACTGGATTCATAGGAGTGGTTAGGTCTGAAAACCAGTAATTTTTATTAGACAAATCAACAAATAATGAGAAACATTATTTGACTGATTGATAAGTAAACTTAAAATTACTGACAATAAACAAAAAGGGAAGAAAAGCTAACGTATGTTCAGTTACCTGTAAACAACCACCAGGTCGAATAACACCAAGAAATGGACTGTCTGAACCTCCTACATACACAAGAGAACCATAAGGCAATTCCGGTGGTTCACTATAGGCATGTGGAGATGGTGAAAGTGACCTGTCCCTGGGTACCAATGGACGATAATAATTTATGATTCTTGTAGCCATACCAACCTATGATTTTAAAAAAGGAACGCAAATATGAGATTAGATTACAATGTTAGATGATTGAAGATATATTCGGCAAGATACCCCAGAAACTAACATCATATCTCAACATACTGAATGAGTTATAGAGGCAATTAAAATAAAGGTTAGATTACAGCTTGACCGATAGAACTCGATTAGTACTAAGAGAATTAAAAATAAGTGATACTGATCATTACTTTTGAATCGATAAATTGTAAGATTACAGAGATCAATGATTGTAAATTAGATTGGAAATAACTAAGTTTTGTTTATTTTTAAACATTAGATCTTTTGTTAGGAAGAGGCGAGTGAAGATCGAACCTTTAGCTCAGTGCCAGAAAATTGGATACTTTAATTATTAGGACATTCGGTTTATAAAAGTTTAAGAGTACATATGCAACATTTCTATTAACATTTGTTTATCATTATACAGATCTTTATTTATTTATTTATTTGAACACATAAATAGTGGTACTAAAGGGAAGAGCTGACTCTCCCCACTCTCGACCTTACCAGGGCATTTGGGAGCTACAAATCTTATCACTAATTGTGTATACTGTAAGGTTAATCAACATGAAGTTCTAGAAATTTTTAAATGTTTTCCATATAACAGCGAGATAAACATGGAAATGTAAATCATTGAAAGTAAAAGTATTTAACTACCAAGATTTTCGTCAATCAATAACGTATAAAATTACCTATCAAACGATACAACGGAAATCGTTATTCACAGTCCTACGTAAAAATTATGTCAGTGAGGATAAATTGATGTGACCAAGTAATTGTAGCTTAGTAATCTGAACAGCAGTATAAATAAGTTCATTTATAATATTGTCAGGTGCATTATTCGTGAAGATAACAACAATATCAAACTGAAAAATGAAGGCATGTTACGACTTAACGTTTTGATCGAGATCATGAATCGATCAATTTTAGAACACCATTGAAAACCTGGAAGCACTGAACAGCCGTTTCGTCCTAGTATGAGACTCCTCAGCAGTGCGCATCCACGGTCCCACACGCGGGATTCGAACCCAGGACCTTTGACATCACGCGCGTACGCTTAACCCCTAGACCACTGAGCCGGGTGCGCACTGTCGAGGAGTTACGTACTAGGATGAAACGACCATGCACTGGTTCCAGCTTTTCAATGGTTTTCTAAGATTGACCGATTCATAATTTCAATCAAAACTTAACAATCTCCACAACCCTATACCTTTAAATTTAATGTTTTGTTAGTTCATTCGTTTATTCTTGAATATAATATTAGTTTTCTCAAAATACAATTGTTAGCGGGAGATAGACTAGATTAAAGCATGCTCAATGCACGATTGCTCTGGTGCACGCTGATTGGCTAATTCTTATCCAATCAGCGCTAGCCGATACTTGGAGAATACTCTAGAATCTTCTCATCTAAAAACTATAAATATACTGACGTTTTTCCCTATTGTGCTTCCTACTTCCATCTAACCTTGTTATTTGGAATATAATCTCTTTCCTGTCCAACCATGTTCTGATCTGGGGACTTGTCGAGTGATTTGGTGTTCAAAAATACTAAGCAATAAGAATAGCTGGGTCATACCGTAAGAAAGAGATTGTAACAACAATAAACTATAAACATGCATAAATATGTGGTTTGCATGAATTTATGCAATTTATTACACAAATCCAGTAGTACAAGCACGTTTTAAGTAGTAAATAAAAGTAATATTATTTAAATAATCCATTAAAGGGTTAGATGAAGTGGGATTACTTTATTAAAAAGAATACTATCATATAAACTACCTGAGCTAATAAAGGCGGATATTCTTCAGAAAATTCAAATAAAACAATCTCTCCATCAGCTCCAGATAAATCACTAGGTGTTCTCATGAAAAATATTTCACCACCACCGGTAGCTGCTCGTTCATCCTCTCGTTCACGCATTTTACGATGAACATGACGAGTAAGATTAGTGACAGGAAATGGTATATTATACTGCGACATAGGACCACGAAGATATCTAGGAAACGATTTTTTAAGCATAAAAGCTATTAGTTATCAAACATAAGCTTAGCTAACATGTAAAAGAAACAACACAAAATGCAATGTTTGTTTTATTTACTATGATATAGTGATCGAACTCAACAAACTGGTGATTAAATGGTTAATATTCGTTGACCACTTCATTCTAGTCCTTAATTTTACTGGTTTTCTATGGAGCAAATTATGATGTACTAACTATGGTGTGTCTAAATCTTATGCTATTAGAGGGAATCGACTAGGTTCTCAATCCGAATCTCGTTATACCTACATTAGTTTGAGCAATTGGGTAGTATCATTAACCCTCGCTCACATCTAATTACCTAGTGAGTGAACTAATTATATACCCTAAGACCTAGGTTTTGTATGGGTTTTCATCAGCAAATATTATCTACATTCATCACAAAGTAACAGACATTACCTTAATAAATTGTCTATAAACCACCTCCAAGAGTCATAATTAGAAGGATTGCTATTAAACCATTTAGGATAACATGGAAATTCAGCTTTCCATCTTTGAAGAACTTTTTCATTGAAGTAATACAATGTGATAATGAAAAGATAGATGAGGAAACATTTTTAATGAACTATTTATTTGTACTGTTGTGTTTTAATAACAGTAAATCAGATAGGAAGTTTAAATTTAGCAAAGTTTATATAATAATAACGGACTGCGTTCTGTTTTCATTTACGGCTGCGAAACATGGCCATTAAGAGTAGAAGACACTCGTAAGCAACTAGTATTTGACCACAGATGCCTTAGAAATATTACTCGCATCTTCTGGGATCACCGGGTAAGTAATAGTGAGGTTAGACGCAGGGTATCAGGGAATGATGGTAAATCAGTTGACAAGGTTGTGAATCTTCATCGACTGAGATGGTTGGGTCACGTGTTACGTATGCCTGAACACCGATTACCACGACGTGCAATGCTAACTGGTGTTCGGGATGGTTGGAAGAAAGTTAAGGGCGGCCAAATCAAAACGTGGCATCAGTGCTTGAAGTCACTAACTTCTAGTCTGAACCATGTTGGTAGATGCAGACTACTTGGTTGGGGTCCGCGTGACTATCGTAACCGATGGTTGGAGACTCTTGGTGACATGGCTCAGAATCGATCAAAATGGCGTAGGTGTATACACTCTCTGTCTTCTCTTAAACTAAGAGATTAAGATCACTTCATATCTTTCTTTCTATCAACTAACTCTTTCTTCCTGTACTATATCTTTATATGCAATCTTTCTTTTATATATTACCACTATTGAATTAACTACTTCTATGAATCCGATGTTCATCTTGTTGTGTTAATGAGGTATGGCAACTTGGACCGATGCATATATGTTCCTGGTCCTACGTTGTAGCTGACTGACTGAATTTGTTTATTGCTTAACTTAATGTTTCGTATAATTTGTAAGTCATCATTTAAGATCATTTCCTTAGGATTTTACAAAAATTATTTTAAACAAGAAAATGAAATTCAGGTCAACTTGAAGCAATAAATGATTTTAACATTAAAAATCGTTGAATATTCTATCTCATACAAAATCTCAAATAATTAAAAAAATACTTAATTTTAACCTTTTAAGTGGAACCCTATGAAATTGACGTAAACGTAGTGGACTCATGTATGTAGGGAAAAATGGTGGCCATAATTCAACTGCTGGAGTACTATGTTGTAATGGACCACAACGTGCTAAACCGCCTAGAGCAAGAGCACCGCTTCGAATTGCATAATATTCATCATTTGATAAATTTAACGGATCTTTTGGTGGAATACCAGAAACCGCTGCTGCAGCTGATGCTAAAGTATTCCCATCTGAGTTATATTCATTGATATCTTGAAGGTGATCATTTTTATCATCTGTATTATTCGTAGATTTTTCTGCTTGACTTGATTGCCAATCATCTTCAGCTAACAGACCATGCTAAGATAAGTGAGATAGTACAGATTGTAAAAAGTATATATTGTATATAGTATAAGTGAAATTGGCGAGACTATAATTTATGGACGAACCAATCAGATTTAGGATTACAGGTCTTGGATTATGGAGCGAAATTCATTCATCCATTTAGCTGATGACAGTTCATGACGAAAACCCTAAATCTAGTTCCTAACCCTAACCATCAACTGTAAATCATAATTCTTATTCCTCACACTGGTTCATAATCCTCATTTAATCCCAGTTATTAGGTGGACAATCAGGGTCACCTTGACGTCGCTCAAAGGTCGTCCATAAATTATAGTCTCACCAAGTTAGGATAAGAAATTCGTAGAGATTGTGTATTCTAAGAATAAGTTTTCATCTCACAGACCAAAAGGTAGATAGCTCTAAAAATATTGGAAATAAGTGTTGAACACCGGTTTCATGTTAGTTTGTGACTACTCACTTATGAAACTGCTGAAATGTCTTCTGGAACGATAACAACTCGCATACCTTCTATCAATTCGATTTTCTGCATGACCCTTTCCCTCTGGTTGGTTGTCATATTTTTTTAGTTCACTAAATTTCTACATGTTCGAAGGTCATATTCTGCTACTATATTAACAACTTTTGTACCGATTTCGTCTGAGTTACTTGTTCTACCACAATATCAAGTTACCTGAAATTCCGTCTTCTTCCTGTCCTAGCCATCGAGATTTGATGTTGTTGAGTATAACTGGCTGTTGTCAGTTCCGAAGAGAACCGATAATATTCGAGAGGCTCAATCAGTTTCGTTCCTAAATCAGTAACATGGTAGGCCGTACTGAACCCTAATAACAAGACATAACACACTATCATCTATTTAAAGAAATTCTTAAATACAATTATGCTGAATAACACATACGATGTAATCAAAGTGAAGGTTCGGGGATTATTTATCAATTTAACTCACTTTACCCAAAATCATTTTAACTTTCTCAGCACCTTTCTCAGCTTTGGCTAGTGCACCAGTGAACATACCACGTGTTGATGCTAATCCAAAATTCACTTGAAGACTAGTACGATTCATCGAATTAGTATTAGATTTATGTTGAGATAGAGCATTGTCAGTATCATTTAATCCATTGGAATTAGACCAATTATTATCATGAATATTTGAAATGTTACTACTACTAACGTTACCACGTAGATTATGACCAGTAGTTGACAAAGAATTCGGATAATCACCTCCTGTTGTAGATATTGTTGATGCTGTCGTCGTCGTGATCATCGACGTTCCTGTACCCATTGTTGCTAGTGCTGTTGCATCAGATTCTCCTGTGTCATAGCCTCGATGCATTAAACGTTTCTGTCGTTGATTACGTATTGATGATAATACTGAAGCAATAGTTGAATCATCGATCGGTTCTAAAATGCATGTTTCATCATTTTGATCTAATGTAAGTAAAAATGGTGGAGGTTGTTGATTAATCGGTAAATCTGAATCATAAATTATATCATGTACCCATGTATTGTTTAATATACCCTCGTTTTCAATTGGAAATATTGAATAAGGTGGATGATGATGATGATGGTTTGGATAAGATGGTGATAATGATGTATTTTTAGAGGAATAATTTAATAAATTTTCCATTATCATTCCTGTTGTTGATGAAGAGGATGTGGTTAAACCATTGATAATTTTCGAACTTAATATAAATGGAAATTTTCCTTGATATGCATCCTAAATATGATTTTTTTTGTTGTTGAAAAAAACACATTAAAATAGATCTCTTGGTTAACATTAAAGCAAAAAAGAAACTTTGATAATGGTAATATACAGCTTAATGTGTGATAGACAATGAATTACACTTTGTTCTCACAGAATTACAAATATTACCCCTAATTTTTTTTTCTAAAACCGATGACAAATAAAAGTGAAATCTATCATTTAAACCTATGATAGACTAAATGCTTGATTTACTGGACAACTGTTCTGTGATTGTAATGATAAGTCATAAATAGTACATATTAAAAGATTTACATGTTCGACTCAATATACTACAATAGATTATTAAGTGTTGCAAAATATCAATAAACATTTCAATAAGATTGCTACGACTAGAGGTTACATAAAGCATCAAACCAAGCAACCAAACAATTATCCTTGTAACAACAATTAAAACAACGAATACTTAACGAATCAAAGTGAAGAAACTGCAAAAATGTTTAGAAAAAGTCAAGTATGAGTTACAAGGAAACTGTCTGAATGTTGCATGGGTTAACAGTAATTAGAATAAAGATCAATAAGTTACCATTACTAGGCACCACATAATAAAATGGTGATATTTCGGCAGCTTAATATATATATCTGTACTGAACAAGTTACATTTTTACAGTATGAGTGTAATTGTTAAAAAGAAAATATCAGATAGTTGTTTTTTTGGTTAAATAAACTATAACCCATACTACTTAATTTAATGTCTTAGGTTAGTAAGCGTCGAGATAATAACATTGTAGAACTTAATTACACTGGTATCAAATTCCTATACTACTTTTACGTTTTATAAGGAAATATTTGTGAAAAATATTCTATAAATTAAAATGGGAAAGAAGTACTTTTGTAAACATTATTTAAGACTATTAATAGTAGCACTTAACTATTTGTGACTTTCCCATAGCTCAATCTCTATTCATATGAACAGATTAGGTAATTTAGAAAAAGGGATTTCGTTACTTAGAAGAATTATCAGAAGGGGTTTGTGAAGATTTTAGAAATTTCACAGATTGAAATCATGAGTCAATTGAAGCAAGACCACCATGGAAAACCTGGAAGCATTGGACGGCTCCAATTAGCTCATGATTTCAATCTGTGAAATTTCTAAAATCTCCACAAACCCCTTCTGATAATAATCATCTGCTCACTAGTGACTGACTTCAAGAGAAACCCTTGGAGTTCTAGTGAGAAGTCGTTACAAGTGGAGTTCAACCAAGTCTGTTGTGAGATATCAGCTCACTGAAACAATGGTATATGGTGGCGCAATTTCGTGGATTGGTTGAAGTTAGACATTAACACCATTGGATGCCGGCTCAGTGATCTAGTTGGTTAGGCGCCTGGCGCGAGACTGATAGGTTCTAGGGTGCGGGATCGTGGATGCGCACTGCTGAGGAGTCCCACACTATGGCAAAACGGCCGTCCAGTGCTTCCTGGTTTTCCATGGCAGCTTAGCTTCAATTGACTCATAATTTCAATCTGTGAAACTTAGAAGAATTATTTAACAAAAACATCGGAAGCATTGGAAATCATATCGTTAATACAGAAGGTGCCCATGAAATTCTTTAAAAAAACGATTACAACATCCAGTACACAAGAGTAGTTCTATAAGTTTGCTTATCTTATTATTCATGGTAGTTATTTTGTTTGTAAATACAATATTTATCATTATTATTCTAATTAGTTTAGAAATTTTGAAATCTACTAGAACATAGTCAATAAGGAAATATTGTCTAAGGATCTACATGTGCAAATTAATTATGAGTATCCTAGTGAACTAATGAGTTTTGAATGCATGCTGAGGATGGTGAAGTAGTCAGCCAGTCAATCAGTCATACAGAACGTAGAACCTGACACATAATAAATGCATTAGTCCAAGTTGACACACCACGTCAACACAGCGAGATGCTAAAGAATAATAAGTAACGACGGTATTAGTTGTAGTAGAAAGGAATAGGTATAGAAGAATTGATAAAGAAATAAAAGCATGGACTCACAGAATAGCAAAGCATAAAATAATTTTTAAAATCAGGGTCTAAGGGAAGACAAAGATTGGATGGATCTGTACCATTGTAAACGATTCTGAGATATGTCACACAACATCTCCTACCATTGGTTAAGAAAGACGTGTAGAGCCCAACCAGGTAGTCTACATGTGATATTAAGTATGTACATTTATTTTAATAATAAATACTATGGTCTTAGGTCATAAGCAGCTGAAAAGAATCCACGAAACAACTGAATTCATGTTATTCTACTACGGTATTTGCTCTTTATTTATTCAAGTTAATACATGGGAAGGGTTGTATGACATAACGTAGCTCAGACCAACAGTCAACGGCTTTATAAACTTATATACCAAGTCTTGGCTTTATCACCCTTAGCGAAATCGCGTGTCGAGGTAGACCATAGTTAGGCATACGTAATACAAGTTCCAATTACCTCAATCGATGAAGATTTACTACTTCAACAACCTAGTACTTCGAACCAGCGTTGCTCACTCTCTTATTCCAACATAAATGAGCATTGCTTCAAAAAAATCTAAGATTAAATATCAGTAGCCTAAGAATATTCCATATTTTCCTAAAGGTGGCATTTAGTAGACAAAAAGTAAACACAAAGAACTGATGAGCAGTAAACTTATCCTTCGGTTAGGACACGAACTTCTCGCCCACGTCACAGATGACGCAAGTCGCTTAAAGTCAAGCGAGCTTTCAGAATTCATGCTGAGAATTTGTCAGATATCAATCCACCAGGGGAAGTGAAAGCTTCAAGATAAATGAAACCGTTGAAATTCCCAAATAATTCGCTACCTATGATTGGTTTGGGCATTGATGTAGACCAGTTCTAAAGCAACATTTGGATTTAGAAACAGAGAACCGTATACCACACATGATCATACTTTTAAGGCATTCAGAAAACTACAATTCGCTAGTGTCATGTTATCTGGGTATTCTGAGTCAATAAGTGGATATTGTAGTAAGAAATCAATTTCTGAAGATCCAGAAGACGAGAGCGTTATTTCTAAAAGAATTGATTAACAGTGAGTATTATTACTTCGTAAGCATATAAACCATACGGTGTGTTTCTAGAAGTATAGTGAGCATTAAAAACTGCATTTTACTAGGGTTCAATATTAGTCAGTTTACTGCTCTTTTAGATTCTGAATACAGGAATCATTTATGAGTTTCTTATAACAATATTACCATTTTAGATGTTGGGAATTTTAATCCAAAAAGTGTTGAGTAATTTTTCAGTCAATTTTAAATGGCAAATTATCTTTATTTAAAATTTCATCATAATGAGAGATTGATCAATTGCAGTCCTGAATCTCAATGGGAAGATTCAAATAAACAATACAAAAATGAATTAAACTTTACCCTATTACATAAGCTAGTAGATAACTGGACTCATTAGGTAAGTGAATAACGTTATGGAGTTTGAAGCGGACGATACTGGGTTCGAGTCCCTAAATGAACATCAACTGTGGTATGCAGGTACATCTGGCTTACGAGTCTCAAATAGGACGAAACGCGAGTCCTGGATTCCACTGCTAGTTATCATCGTCATTTCTTTATGTATGTTACTTGTTTAAAATGATTATGACTTAATTTCTATACAGGTAAAGAAAGAGTATAATTCATGGATTAATTCATCATCATTATCATTATTGTTTGTTTGTTTTATTATTTACCTGAAAGGAGGCCATAGTACGACAATGTTGTGATGGTATCCAACCGGCATATGCAGCATTTAAACGTGAATTAGTAGATATTTTATTTGCACTTAATTGAGGATCATATATTATATCATCTTCCCAATTTAATATTGATATAAATAGAAATGATTTGGTGTATTTATTTCATCAAGACATAAAGGACGTGAATTATTCTTACCTGGTAAGCAAATATTTTTGAAAAAAAAATGAAAAATAGAAATATTGTAACAAAAAAAAGATTAATAAAATTTGCGGGGTTTATATATATATATATATATATATATATATATATATATATATATATATATATATATATATATATATATATATATATATATATATATATATATATATATATATATATATATATATATTGGTTGCATTAACTCTGAAATGCGGATACATCCAACTGATAATTCCCAAATAGGTCAAAAGTCGCTTCCTGAATACCACTGCTAGCTACATTCCATCTATTCTATATTAACTTGTATCATAATGAGAGAGGTTGATTATGAATACAGTGGTCTTGAGTGCTGTTAGAGGAATGAGGGCGGTTATCACTTCCCGGTTGCCCATACCGTGGGAAGGTTCATCTGGCGGTACCTGAAAAGGGAATAGGATTAGAGGTGGTCTTAGTAATCTGGGAGCATCACCTCAGTGCCCAAGGGATAACTGCCTGAGGTCGGTCACACACGACCTTTTCGCGAGTAATTTTCGTGTTAGCTCGTACTTCTCAAGGCCTTATCGCTGCAGGCGGATATCCGTAGGATAAGGCGAGGTGTGCATTTTTAGGGTCGACCATTTCTAACCTACCCCACCTTGTGGGAAGGCAGCATCGCTGTCATGCTGGTTGTCTGAAGGAACACCTTACTGCTGCCACACCGTTGTATGGTCAGCAAAAAGATTTCGCCCTCAGACCTGGGTTCGCTGCTTTTAGTCTTACCGCCCTTCAAGTCTGATCAGCCCTAATGGGTTGGTGTCTGACGAAATCTCAGCACGGATTCGAAAAGCTCGTTTGCCTTTTGCCAACTTACGCCACCTATGGCGAATGAGAGATATCCGTCTATCAATTAAGGGGAAGAGTAAACTGTGCGGCAGTCCGTTCTGTTTTAATTTACGGCTGCGAAACATGGCCATTAAGAGTAGAAGACACTCGTAAGCAACTAGTATTTGACCACAGATGCCTTAGAAATATTACTCGCATCTTCTGGGATCACCGGGTAAGTAATAGTGAGGTTAGACGCAGGGTATCAGGGAATGATGGTAAATCAGTTGACAAGGTTGTGAATCTTCATCGACTGAGATGGTTGGGTCACGTGTCACGTATGCCTGAACACCGATTACCACGACGTGCAATGCTAACTGGTGTTCGGGATGGTTGGAAGAAAGTTAAGGGCGGCCAAATCAAAACGTGGCATCAGTGCTTGAAGTCACTAACTTCTAGTCTGAACCATGTTGGTAGATGCAGACTACTTGATTGGGGTCTGCGTGACTATCGTAACCGATGGTTGGAGACTCTTGGTGACATGGCTCAGAATCGATCAAAATGGCGTAGGTGTATACACTCTCTGTCTTCATTTAAACTAAGAGTTTAAAATCGCTTCATATCTTTCTTTCTATCAACTAACTCTTTCTTCCTGTACTATATCTTTATATGCAATCTTTCTTTTATACATTAACACCATTGAATTAACTACTTCTATGAATCCGATGTTCATCTTGTTGTGTTAATGAGGTATGGCAACTTGGACCGATGCATATATGTTCCTGGTCCTACGTTGTAGCTGACTGACTGAATAATATTGATGGGATCAGAAATCGTGTACTAACAGATGGTTGTTTCATCTAAGTTTACGATCCGTTATAAGTAAAATATTGTTCGGCTACCTGGACTTAAGTAGATCAAGCAGGGTTCGAACATGTAACCTACCCATTGAAACCTGAACACTTTAACCAATAGGCTACTATCATACAACTTTATAACTAGAATGTTGATGATAACAGTTTTCTTTCAGTTCTATTCATAATACGCATAATATTGAAAATACAGAATACGTCCAAATGCTTAGTGATACAATGAGTTTACTCGGTTCATTTTAAGAAACTGGAAGCCAAAAGATATTTATTTAGTCATAGAAAAGGTGGAATCGAAAGAACTATGTCTAGTTATTTACTGGTCACCATTTATGTAAATCAGAACACTACTTGTATATTTTGATACCACCGAGTAAGCAATGTTAAGGATAAGGGGCTGGGTAAATCTAGCAAATCGATTGATGACATAGCGAATCTCTAACTGAGTTGGTCGGGACATGTTTTGCGTATGACTAACCACTGCCAATCTCGATGGGAGATTTTACCTGGTGCAGGAGTAGTTACGAAGAAAGCTAGGGGCAGCCGTATCAAGACGTGGCACCAGTTCATAAAATCAGTAACAATTTTAACTGAGGTATGTTAATAGGTGTAGGTTACTGCATGATTAACGTAACCAATGGTTCAAGACTTTCAATCGCTTGCAATGGTATATGTGCATTTACTCCTTATCTTTTATTAGAACCTGATTTCCGAAATCTCCTTAAACCTTTTTTTCTCTTTTTATGATACAGTTACTACTCTTACTACTTTGGGATTTGTCTTTAAATAATTTTTATCGAGTTAATTCAAATGTGGTACGGCAACTTGGACCGATGCACATATGTATCAGGTTGCGTATGACTTACTAATTGAGAACATTATTTCATATCTACCATGGACATATAATTTTCTTTGACTGCTATCATCCTCTATTTAAACTACAAAAATGGCCTCAGAAGTAAAACGTTTTTAGTTACGTTTTTATTTCCTTGAAAATGTTTGGATCAGATTGCCACGCGAAACTTTGGATTTACTTCAAATTCTTTCGCTGAGATTTTACAAATACATCCTTTCCCTTTAATGTTTTTAATTACCGCTTAGAGAAAAAATCACTAAAAACAAATAAGCACAATTCACTAACCATATATAACGAGAGTCTTTTGTGACATATCATGTATAAATTATATCTTTCTAGATAGGTAAGAATGGACCTAAACCTATGACTGATCCTTACTATTAATGCTACTACAATCACTACTAGTATTACTACTAATACTAATACTAACACTGTGTTGTATGCTATTTATGTTGACAGGTATAAGTAGTATGTAACACCAATCGAATGTGGAATCAGTGTCAAAAGAAGGTTTAGAAAACTGAACTGAAGAGAACCGAAAGGGAAACAGAAAGAAATTGAGATAAAAAAGAATTGGAGGAATCCTGAAGGATGCAAAGGACAACTGATTGAAGATGTGCAAATTATGTACTTATTGTATCGTTTACATAATCTACCAAGACACTGTAATTTTGTACTAAACAGTAAATTTATCTCCCCCACCTGAGTTCTCGTTCACTACACTACTGCTACCACCAATAGTACTAATAATAATCAGTAAACGTTGCATGCACATGAGAGTTGTTTATTTTTAATTAGCGATAGGACACTTACGTAGAGCTGGAGATGAATGAAATAACGATTCAGTTGACAACCGCTGTTGACAACTATCAGGATCTTGTTTACTGCACACTTGATCTGAATAACCTCTGTGGAACGATTCATCAATATTTTCTTTTTAATAGTTGAAAAAGTTGGTACTTCAGATACTGTTTCATTGACTAATTTATTTGTATCTAAATTACCACAATCATGGGCTTCATATTCAGAGTTGGTTGAGGAATGAAGAGAGAGTGAATTGGAGTCGTTGTTATTATTAATACTACAGGCAGTAGTAGTGGTGGATGTTAGTGGTCGACGCCATTCTGTCCATTCAGAAATATTTATATCTAATGGTAGACCTAACTGATCGTACCAATATTTTGCCGGTCCTAATCTCCAACCTAAATAACTAAATTTAAATGTAAGACAATTAGAAAATATATTTCAATTAAAAAATCGTTATATTGTTTATAAAAATGTGTGGATATAGCAGCATTTCTTGAAATTGGAGAGAGAGGAAATATTTGAATTATTAGAACATCATAACAGATTGATTGCTAACTAGAATTTTAAAAGTTTTCCTTTAGATAACACACCTATAACCACCATCTACCAAGTACTTCCATCAGAAGACAAGTAAATATGCTGTCGATAGTAGAGCTGAAGAGACAATTGTGGATGAACCCATTGTTGGTTTATAACAATTTATTTATTTAAACACAAACATTGGTACAAAAGGGGCACCAAAATATATACGTGCCACATATATTAGTTATCATTTATTTGTGTCTGTGCGCACTGGGATACTATTTGAACGACCAAACTGAAATAGGTGGTTTGATTAGAGGACCACTTACTGAGCTCTTGAACCAGAGGTCTAATTCACAAAACAGTGGAGCAACCTTAGCACACATGGTCCCATGGTAGTCGTTGACGGACAACAGGCTCATATTCCACTTGTCCCCTCAGAATCGTGTAACCCATGTGCACCATTGATTTGGAATCAAGATTTTTCAACTCTTCTGTGTGGACGGTCTGTACCGAACAACGTGGTGGAAGCCGACAGTTATTCGCTTTTTATTTTCTCAATTTCGTAAACAATGGTGCTGCCGCGAGAAGGCAGTGAGTCTGACTTGTCTGGTGACAGCTATAGGTGCGTGACATTTTGAGAGGGAGAGCGGACTTTCCTCACGTTTGACCATACTAGGGTATTTGAGAGCTTATAACGAACATTATATGATATATAAAACGAGAAGTGAATATTTACCCAAAAGTAAGAGGAGGTTTTGTATATCAGCTATAATATACATAATATAAAATGAAGAGAATCTTGGAATAATTATTAATAATAGTAATAATAATAATAACGATAAAAATAACTTACGTGTCTATGTCATTGTTAAGTGTTTCATTTAAATCGTCATGTTTATGAATTTCATCAGGTTCTAGTTGTTGTTTCTGTGTAGACGTTTTTTTATCAACACCACCAGCTTGTTCATAGGCTTCAGCTTTTTTAGGATTCATTAATTCGTCAAGTGCATTTCTAAAAGCTCTACGCCACCATGAATGTTCACTGCCAGCTAAATAATCTAAACCTGGGATTGGTGGAGTATTCAACTCCACTACTTCATCATGACAATTGATTTCTTCGGGTAAAGGAATTTCTCCAAGATCCAAAAATCCATCATATAAAAGATGCAATCTGCTTAACAGAAAAAAGAACGAAGGAAATAAATGACAACCAGTTTCCCTTTGGCAGACATATTACTTTTCCAACTAATGGGAGGACTTTTTTAGAGCTTAGGTGAGTGAGTTTGATTATACTTGGTTCTCTGATTTAAGTTGTTTAATTGCCAAACTTTCATTGTCTTTTGAATGGTATCTCAGTTAGTCGTAATCAATGGTCTAGTACATATGTGCGCTATCCCAATCCACATTAACAAGACGAATAGCAAAGAACTCAAGATAATTGTAGTGATAATGACAAGAAAGACTAAACATAGAGAATATGCTTTGAGATAAAGGAACGAAAACGTATATATATAAATGAATTTTAGAACTACAGAGCTAGAGGAAAAGAGTGAATGCATGTGGACCATTGTAATTGATTATGAACTACGTCACCCGATGTTTCCAACCACTGTTTAAGGTTATTGCATAGACCCCAACTGAGTAGTCTGCATCTGTCAACATGGTTCAGAACAACAATCAATGATATATATATATATATATATATATATATATATATATATATATATATATATATATATAATGGTAGAAATATGGTGCTATTTGTCATAACTTTTTCATCAGCCTCTATACCCATAATGATAAACAGAATATTCAAGTATAACAGTATTATATCCAAACTGCCTAAAAGAACGTCCAATTAGACAGATGGGTTTTCAGTTAAACAATGACAATTCACTATAGTTTTGAATATATTAATTCTGTTAAAGATCGAAAACTAAGAATACTGATGATGATTTCAATTAGGAACTAATGGATGGATATAAGCATATAGCAGCTTGTGAAGTCTTCATGGTCAACAGCAACGAGATCAAAAATGTGTAAAGTAACATTATTAGGAAGTAAAAATAATATAGAATAGATTTGCTCTGTATCTACTGGTTAATTAATTGGGTACTAACTACTAGCACATAATTTAATGAAAAATATCGACGTCGTTTATATGAGTAAGTGATAATATTGGGTAGGAAAATGAATTGATTGGAAAGTTTGATGTATAATGATGAATACACTGATTTCACAAGGAGCATGAAGCTGAGAGTCAGTGAATTGGAGACTTCCAATTTTTTAGCTTTTATGCTATGAGTTCAGACGTTACGTCACCTATTTGTTTAGGTTTAAGCAACCGATTAATATATTTAGCACCCAAGAAATAAATGTTACTGAAACGGTGTTACATAAAACCAGAATAAGTTTAGTGGATATTTTAATGCAGAGTTGCTAAGCTAGATAGAATGGATAAACTTGAAGACAGCCTGAAAATGAAGAAGAATTTGGGTTCATCTCAAATTAAGAGTATAGTCAAGTTAAAGATCATGATGACAAAGGTTTCAATAGTTGTCCACATTCAGTAGAATTACTTATATAGAAGCTACAAAAATAAGGATTTAATTACAGGTCATCATGAAACTGGATTATCTTTTTATTTGTCATTAGTTATCTGCTAAATAACCTACATTTTGATTAGTTAATATATTTAACGATTAACGTATTAGTTGAAACCTGAAGATACTTCCAGTAATAAGAAAATTCGGTTAGTAAGTGGGAAATCAAGTCTTTGTAATCATTGGCAATATTAAACTTATCTTACAATTAATTTCAGTTATTTTTTCTCTGTCTAAGAGAAATCTCTTTATCTCAGTCTTTAGTGTATGTATAATGAGAAATGTAGTGAGAGTCGTCATACACAACTAACAATCAAAGAAGATAACAATGACTGATCGAAGAGGTATCAGAATAAAAGACAAGTTAGTTAACTTACCGATCACTTCGTGATGGTCTTTGTGACAGAATCTCTTCCATATAGTCATAGTGCTCAATAAACTCATGATAAACTCCTAGCTGGTGCGGTAATTTAAATAAACGTCCCCACAAGGGTGTTTTTCCTGGATCATATGAAGGGAAAAGTTCTTTTATATCTACATTCATGTATTCTGGAGGCATAAGACTACCCAGGGGAGTATTTAAAGCATTGTCTTGATGATGTGGAGCAGTAGTGGCGTACCCTGAACTTTTAACTGATTCTAAGTTACAACCGATGGTTACTGGACTAGTGATTGGCGAATCAGAACTTCGTGAATAAACGGGCTAAAAAGAAGGTAATAGACTAGACTTATTATTTTAGATACTACAGATTCGAATAAAGAAAAAAATGAAGAGCAGTGATATATACAATATATCCATGATACTTTGAAATTCTATTACCTTTACATTCACACAGTGTTTTCGACATTACTACTACACTTACTACAAACCACTTGGGATAACAAGCGAGCTGGAACAATATAAAATTTATTTCAAGTTATTGAATTAAAAAAAACATAAGAGGAAATCAACGTGAGAATTCAGTCAACAATATTAATAACTTGTCAAACGACAAATATTGGGTAACAACTAGTTTTAATCAAGAGTCAATAATATGAATTTAATGGCATGATATATAGTTTTTAACGATAGATTGTTTTATTGACCCACTAGCTTTAGGTTAAATTTTATTTATTTAGTTAGACACATATATTCGTAGAAAGGGGCACCGAATACATATGCGCCACACAAGTCACTTGATTTGTATGTGGGCTATGATACTGCCCGCGTGCCCAGACCGAAGCAGGTTAAGTTAAAACTCTCTGCATAAACTAGATTTAGCTAGTAACATCATGATTCAATGTCACTGATTTGACTCAACCAACTTGAGTTCTCCAAATGGATTTTTTAAGAACACAATAATCACATACAATTTTATTCGTGAAACTGTGAGACATATCTATTGCGTAACAGCTTTTAATCTTGCTAAATTCTTCAAATCTTAAAAAGTGATAGGTCCGAGACCATAACTAGATGACTGAAATCCTATTGACTCGATCACAAAATCGTGAGCTTCTTTCGTATTATTTTTATCACAGCGAGCAATTTATTTTATGGTAGGGGATGATAGAAGATTCATAGTAATATGTTAACCTTGTAAATAAAGTGGAGAATTTGCGGTGTCTATCAGTGACAAGATTAATTATCCCATGTATTACCGTAGAAACTAATATACCTAAACTACAGTGGGAGTACACAAGTCTAAAGTAGGATACTCGCCTAATCCAAATTTAGCCATGTTCCTTAAAGTTCACCATTATGGAAATACCTGTTGATGTCCATGACTTTTTGGAGCCCTAGTTCATTGATTAAGGAGTGCAGCTATCAACTATTACATCTCAGCTTCAAATCCCGAAACACAGGTTTTAGTAGTTGGGTAGTATAACTAACTTCCACACACTGTGTGGATTAAAGCCGATGCCCATGTTAACTACGACTGACTGATTATGAATACTTTTCTTAATGTCTACTACAATATCTTCCAAAACTCTCACTTTAAATACATGGAAATGGTGAGTTAGAGCACACTAGAGGTAAACAAATGTTTTGATGAGGACAATGGAAAATGGTTCTGTGAACGATGTTGATATGAATCCAATGATGTTAGGTATGTATTTATTTTAAGACTGCAAGCTAAACTACATAGCTGTAACTCGCTCACTATCAGACTTAGCAGTAATTGGTTGATTAAAGATGTAAACCAATCTTTGTACATTTTAGCTGTCAATATTGATTTTTTTCAGTAGAAATATTGCTCAAAACAAATAGCAGGAGAGATAATTGCCAATAATGCTTTAAATGATGGTGATTTGTGTCTAAGCAATTTCAAATATGCGAGTTATTGAAAAGTGGAATGGTTGCAATTACATACTACTTCAAAGGATTTTAGAGGTCGCTACAGTATATCCTTGCATATGTGCTTCTGAGAAGTAGGATAAATCAAATGGATAGGAAAACGAAAACTATGGCCTCTAAATCAAGATTTCCAACTATGAATAAGGTCTTAATAATGAAAACTATTATACTAGTCGGATACGGAAACTACAGGCTCGATAATCATGTTAGGATAATCTAATCCCCAGATATATCTTGTGTATGAGTATAATATAGATAAGTAGGAGTGATGTGTTCTTCCAAAGGGTATTTTGGGATGCCAGAAATGTGCAAACGACACTTAAAATAATAACACAACACAGTAAATGCATTCACAATATTAATAATTTAAACTACCAGTCATATCTACTGTGATGATGAGGTGTACTATTCTAGTGTCCGAAAAGAAAAAAAGATGGGTTAAGTCTAAACCTATTAATCCATTTCGGAAATGGCGCCTAAAGCACAGATTCAGTTACATAATGTTTTATACTGTTAATCAAGCGAAGGTTCGACCATGAAAGCCGAAAGGTCTGGGTTGAATTTCATGAATTTTATTTGGAAGTTACTAAACGTTTTGCGATTACTAGACTATAAATCGCCTGTGAGTTTGAAAGTCACCTTAGTTGAAGGTTAAGATAAGCCATAATAGGATAAAAGTGTTGTGAATTAACATATAAAATTACTGGTCATCACTTCGGACAAAAGGAATAAATACAGGTTGCTGTGGCAACATGTATGTGCACTGCAGTGAGATTTATTGGTTAGTGCTTGGTAACTAACCAACTCATATATACACTTCGTCTCATTGATCACATAACCATATGCCGCGTATTGAGTAAATATACTGTATGAGTCCATTAGAGACAGCGAGATACATATATTATGTTGTGAATCTCGATACGATTTGTCATGAACTATGATACACATTATTATACTTGGGATTGTAGCATCAGATGAGGCTTGGAAGCTTGCTGCAAAGAGACAAAAGTAATAAATTACATTTAAACTCATACCTTAATTTGATTTGAACGAGAGATTGAAAGCGGTGCCGGATGTAATGGAGGAGGCATAATAAGAGTTGTATCTTCGGAGACACTGATTTGAGCATAACTTATTGGTTTGCTCGGAGAAACTGACTCAGTACGTGGTGATGATGTGTCCTCTCTTTTAAGCTGGCTGTCAAGTCCTATTACATTAATTTCACTTAGGGACGATTCCTCTGGGACTGACTCAATAGTCCCACTTCCTGGCGAAGCATATCCCTCTTTATGGAGTAACCTCAAATCCAAATCCATTTTGGGCGTCAAACTCCGTTCTGGTTCTGAGTCGATTAAATCATAATCATCCTAAAAAGAATATAAGCTTAATTTTCAATTGATTAATTAATTTCAACATCACGGATATCAACTGAACTAGGTAACGGGTTATCAGAATTATCAAAACTATATCTTAACGAGCAGAATTTAAATTGAGCAAGGGAAATTTACTAACGCATTGAAATTGTAGCCACAAATTATTGACCCATATATATATATATGCATAGGATTCCTTAAATATTTTATACATAATAGGAATGAATGTATCAGAAAATGTTAAGGTTTAGAATAGCAGCTTCCACGGCGGTCATTTTTTTAAGCAAGTAATCGAGAAGGTGGATCTATTGCTTACTGGTAAATAACAATGTTAGCGGCGGTTAGACTAAGACATAAAACTAGTTCACGCAGTAGTTGACTTTTTGACTGAGCTATGACGAGAAGGGTAGGCATCCTGGTTGAGGTCAGCAGGGTCATTGTGACATATGACTCGATGTTTTTGGTAGTGGTGAAGATGCACTCATACTTCATCTTTTAGGTATAAGATAACAGTATTATTTCTCTGACTTCCTTTGTTTTTTTTCGAAACACATTCCCGAACTTCAGTTTTCCACTACTGATGATAGTACTTCTAATCCAATATTTTTCATCTTGTAAAACTTTTCAGAACTTTGATGATGGATATCTATCGCGGGTCCAACAAAGTTCAAAGACTTTGACTGAATCACCAGTTTTTCTGTTTTATAAACTTTACCCATAACTGTTCTTAATGTGCTGAATACAATTCCATACTACATGGTTTGTTGCAATGTCTGGATATAACTAAGATCTGGTTTTATTCAGCGGACTTAAGTTAGCGGAAGAGATGAATAAAAAATATGTATAGATAATACCAGTAATAGATCTACTACTTCCACCAACTGCTTTACACTCATAATTAAAGTCGGACATTAGGAAGCTTTATTACATGCAACCAATCCATTAGGGAAATCAGTTATATAGGAACCTGTGACATTTTACTTTTAAAGATTATCATAACTGTTTGATAGTGAAGGTGTTACTCCGGAGTTTTATAATTGACCGTCAATATTTAGATACTTCATTGGAGCCAAGGTTAGTAACCAAGCTGTTTTGCTCATATCAGAATTGAACTAGACACAAACCTACTAAGAAAGTAAAATAATTAATGCGTTCAACTACTTTACTTCCAAGTGTTAAACTATATACAAGAATAGACAGAAGTAGATGATCATTTTATTTTTGAGAAATGTAATACGCACTACCAAAACATTCTGAAATTTCAATGAAAGGGGTTCAGAAGTGGTACTCTTTCGGTGAACTCGTTTAACGATACGTATTGTGCATACCCCAATTTTCTTCGGGAACTTTATTTAAATCACGTCCTTAGAAATTCGGAGTAAATTGTAATTCTGACAAACGCATCAAACAGAAACAATAATAATGGATATCTCTGGATGACAATGTTAACTCTTGATAAGTTGGTTAATCGGTAGTCATTATTTTCTGCTTCATAGAAAATCGGGGCAAACTGTTGAGTAACGTGACACACTATTTTGTAACTTCATTGAATTTCATCGTGACAGGTCGAGTTAAATACCTTTCTAAACCGAAAAATATTGACGGGGTAAAAATGAAGTATGACGTAACTCGCAAGTTATAAAATCATACACTCATTTCGGAGCCACTATGAGTGGGCTAATGATATTAACCAGCCGACTGAACGTACGTTGTGGGATTCGAACCTGAGACTTAATGATTGAAAGCCGAGGTTTTACCAACCAACTGAGTAACGCTTGTATCTTCTGTTATGGACCATTCATCTGGCGCGTTGCTAATACACACACTTGAAGCTTATTTAAGAAAGCTTTAGAATAAACGAATTACTTAACCAGATGCTCGATAGTTTATGTTAATGTGAGGTTGTGTTCAGTAGTTGGTTTGCTAGAAATTCACTTTTAAACACTCACCAGATTTTATGGGACAAAACAAAAGTAGTTTAAAAATAAACCATTGTTAACAACCTAACAAGCTTACGACGAAAGATACCTCTTCAATTTTTTCAGGCTTCATGTCGTATAAGACCTTCTCTACAATTTCTTCTGCCAACGTTTCTTCTTCGTTATAGTAGTCTATTGAGCTTATATTGTTAATAGGCTGAACACCACCACCCTCTGGTGATACTGAAGGTATAACACTACTGTCAGAAAGCACGTCTGAAGCAGCTTCTTCCACTTCTCTCACGTGGCATCGGTCTAAGTTATTGATAGATTTCAATTCAACATCATGTTGATATTCCTCGATTTGTCCTTCCTTGTTAACGTTCCCAAAAAGAAAGCTGGAGATTTTATATTTCGGGCCATCTTCATCTGGTGAATTCTCTTCACCAGGCATGGCGAAGAAAACCTTAAAAGAAAAATAAGATTCTACAATTAGAAAGGTGCATATCTACAGATGAATAAATACAAAGTCATTCAAGAAATTAATCTATTCTAGTAACTGTAATACTCAATTTGTGAAACAGCTATTACATTAGTTATATCGAGGCTGACTTCTCAAGTCTCAGCAGGACGATTAATGATTGGGTATGTGGCCCAATATCACTACGTCGCGTGCTTGAACCACTAACTCAACGCAACCGTGTTTCTAGTTGGTTTTACTTAGATGTCTATCGTTTCTCTCAAAAAGGGCATCACCTAAAGAAAACTTGGTTAGTCTTTTGCTACTGTCACGAGCATATTTACAGCAGTGAAGACAGATTGTGTATCAGATCGATTCCCGTATTAGGGAAGTAATCTAATATATATGTATTAACTTTCATCAAATATACTGACGAGAAAATGCTTATGAACCAGAATATGGTGTGTTAGATTTATGTACCCACTCTAGATAAATTTTTATCGTCAAAAATTGAAAAGCATGAACCTTTAACATTCGAGAGGCCTGTATATGCATATACAAAGATAACATGCATGGGTTCCGACTTAGAAGTACTGAAAGGCATACTACACTTCTCATTAATGACCATGGTAATCAACATCCTTCTGACACTATAGACGTATGGGCCACACTCTAAATGTGAAGGCTACTGATAATACTCGGTTCCTAAAACCGAAGTAGGTGGGGGGTCTACACGAAAGTATGAATAACGAAATTACGAACTTGTAACAATGGTGAAATTCGTACCCATGTATTAACCCTGAAGGGCTACATTCGCGATTGCTGTAAATCTTTGCGAATATTATTTCAAGGACATTTATAGCATTGTCCAATATATCCTTTTCCCAAACTTAACTCCCTAAGAATTAGAAGGATGGTGTGTTAGCCCATTTTTAGATATGGAAAGAGACATCGTATCTAACTACTGACCTATCAAGTTAACTAGCATAATCGTTAAGGTATTTGAAAAAAAATAAGTAGGGATGAGTTACTAAGGCATATAGAACCATACAATTTGTTAACATTAGAGGAATACATGTTTCAGAATAGACGTTTGTGGATAACCTGCTGATTGCGACAGAGGAGTGAACAGCAGCCCAAGATATCAGTTTGTCTGTCGATATGATATTTAAAGATTTCAGAAAGATGGCCTACTCAAGGATTATTCAGAAGCTATCCAGCTTTGGAACAACAGGTACCAAATAAGAGTGAATAAGCGAATTTCCATAAACAGAGTGAGTACATGGTACACTACATGAATGGAAACCGCTAAAAAGTAACGGTCCCAAAGACATACTATTAACTTCCTCATTAATTCTCCTCTATGTCAATCAATTAACGAGACTGCCAAAGTCGATGACACCTTTCAGCAGATGACCTCAAATTTTGGAGAATAAGTAGTGAGGCTGACTATTTTTACTTTCAAGCTGATTTGGACAAATTACCTAAATGGTTCAATAGTTGAAGTACAATTTTAGAGAAAAAATAGTGAATATTGCTATGGTTATTAGTACACCCTCAATCGAACACCGCTTCCACATGCGCACGAACAAAGACAGGAGAAATATTTAGTTAGAAATCCAAAACAACTGCGAATTACAGCGCACCAGTTTTAAAGGTTTTTAAGCATTATATTCGCTTCGCTGAGCTCTTAAATCTTCTGAAAAGATATGTTTTAGGTTTTATAACACACATATGTGAAACTGGCGAGATATAAGATAACAGGTCTCGGATTTTGGTGCGAAATTCACTCATTAAATTGGCAAAAGAGTTCTTGCATTATAGTTGATGTCAGTTCGTGATGATGGCGTCGCTCAAAGGTCGCCCATAAATTATAGTCTCACCATTATTTCTTCATATAACTAAACGTGAGGTGACTTTGTGTTGGAATTCTGTATTCCGGAAATAGATCTAGCTGTTAACATATCTGATGATTCAGATAACTTTAGATTTAGTCACCTTCAAAACTATCACAAGATTGCTCAAAAATCGTGGTCGAATATATTTTGTTAATTTGCTAACGATCGGTCAAATCAACCGTAATAAACTGTATGAGTTCATTAGAGGACAATTTCATAGAGAAGCTGCATTCTGGCTAAAAAAATAAGTTGCCAGGACCAACACGGGTCAACCGACCTACAATCCCTTACAATGCCAGCTAAACCATAAACTCTGTTACCAAGACTCATTGAAAACGGATCTTTGTACTTAAGTGTTTATGAGACGAACCAGATTTCCAACCCTATTTTGTGTTCAACCTCGTCAGTAAAATAAGAGTTTAAGGCCAGCTGACCTTGAGTTCGATCAGACCACAAAATCAACTAGTTTTCAATGTCAATATCTCTGCAATGAGCTATTGTAAAATAGATGGCTTCTTTTCATTTGATTGTTGGTTACTTAGTACTGTCCTATAATTTAACAATGTCTAATAGAGTAAGAACACTCACTTGGATGCATCGGTGTTAGTGAATTAGACAGCTATTTGTTTGTATTTTTTGGGTTTTGAATGAATACGTTTATCCCAGTGAAGTTGAGTTACCGGCATCTATCATATTTACAGGGGGAGGCTTGTTTGTTGTATTGTTAGGCAATAAAATTGGAGTTAAGATAAGCATATAGAAGGCAAGTTCCAGAAGTAAGTGAATCAACGTAAAAACTGAAGTAAAAAGAAGCAAAATGAACAGAATAGATCATTGGTGATAATAATAATGACAGCTAAGTCGTGAGACACTCATCAGATACAGCTAATATAACCGAAAGACGATATACCGTGTGTAAATACAAAGATATCGAGCTTCACGAAGTTGTCCACTGTATATTGTTTGGGAGAACGCTGCTGATGGAGACGATTTATGATGAGAAAAAGTGCGACTTTACCAAGTCGTATTCCCTCTCATTTACGCTTCTTCTTTGTTTACCTCGTGGAGTACAGTGACTGAGAACAGGAAGAATGTTTTTTGGGGGTTAACACAAAACGGTTAGTGCATTGTGCACAATTACCAAATCATTTCAAGCACTCCGTATGCACGTTTCAAAAAGTATTAGAAACATTTTCAGAGCAACGGCTGTAAGCTGCCTTTTTTGACGTACAAGCCTGGGATGTATGTCCTCAGTGTAATATGAACTGATGTTCAAGAAGTATGCATGTGATAACCTGTGGTTACATATTGTAGAGGCAATTGAAAGAATGTGATCACAGAGAATGTAAGCTATATTTGCATCGCAGATTAGCAATTATTTACACATAGCCATACACGAGGAGTAGATAAGTAATCTGTTTTTTATATGAAATAACTTGATCTAAGCATATATCGTCATAAAAATTGTATTGCCGTCAATGCTACCAAAACCGCGCAACCATAATAAGATTTAACGTTTTTCTATTTATTGTGATTTTCACTATTATTTTTATGGCAAAAATAGGTTAATAGTGAAAATTTTAGCTGTCCTGAGAGTTGCAAATGTTATGTACATGCTTTAGGTGATCATAACACATACCGAGATGTTAATATTACCTTCTACAGCTAGATATGTAAACCACCAGACCATTATATTGCAGGAAACAAGTCGGACTCGTGTGCATTAGGTACAATTATGTGAAGGTGTTCCCAGAGACTAGGTAAACATAGCTTTACTACCTACTCTCCAGAGTTCCAAATTTTAGGCTGCCGATATTCTTGCAAAGGTAGCTAATAGCAGAAATAATTACCATTATAAAACGGTAACGAGAGAGTATTGGGATGTACGACTTCTCAATTAAGATATCTCGATCTCAGGTGGCGAGATTGTCAGAGATCGTATAGGATGATCTTTGAAAATCAACCAAAGCGTATCTAACTCACATGCTAATGCCAGAACTGATAATTACTTACACCTTACGTGAGACTGAAGGTGAAATAGGCATCAATAATTACGGATTCCACAGGACGATTAAATGTAAGTTCGCGCAGCAGTCTTTCTATATTTGCATATGTTTTGTGTCCACAGTTCTGAAGTGCCATCTGTCCAGAAAACCAGATAACACAAGCCATGGGTGTTGTGAGCCAAAGTTTTCTACGTGACGCAAAAGATAAAGTAAATGGGAGTGGATGGCGATCCAAAGAAAGGGTGTGCTAAGTTCACTTTATATATGCGATTAAACACCGGTTTCTGTTTTTATATTATTTTCTCGTAAAGATTTATAGCGGAATAATTATTTCCCACCCATCTTATTTGTAGCTGGTTTCGCAAGTGTTCACAGAGCTAACTGTAAGCTTTTAATTCAGCAAACATTATTCTTATACCATTGGTGCGCATTCTGGATTCATAGGTTATATAATCGCTATGACATGGGGCATTCGTTTGTGCACTATAAGGTATTTGACTGTTCTGATACTTCAGTTGTAATACGGATGTATCATTTTATTTCTCCTTGTAGAACACTGTGGATGAAAGTTCAACACCAACCTGATGTACCTTAGTAAACTTCATGAGCGATTGCCAAGAATTGGAGGGAGTTATTTATTAATGGATAGTTTGTGTCTTTCTAAACTTTAATGAACGTTTTCATTTATAAAGCATCAGTCTTTTAATAACGGCAATGCTTACATTTTGTGACAGACCGGAATTTGACCCATGTTCAGGGTCGCAGTGTTTGGTAAACAGTCTGTACGACTAATCACGTATGCACCAACCTGAAAATCGTTACACATGAACGCGTAACAACATCCCCATGTCTCACATCTACATAAGACTGCACAGTACACTCCCTTGCCGTAACGCTGAAAGAACAAGTTGATGGCCATATAAATGAAATTGTGTAAACGTGAAAGGATTACCATAAAAGAACTTTTTGTTATTAAGAAGCATAGCTATGGTCAGTGAAAACAGTGGATTGTGACGATGTAGCTTCATCATTACCACCAATTGAACTCAGAACTTGTGCACATAAGTCTTCTGATTCTTTGAGGGATGAACGGATAATTTTACTGGCCAGAGATTCACTAGGAGCATGGATTGAGTGGTAGTTATTAATGAAACTCTCTAGCGGATCTTCAGTCCCTGTACAGATTGACATGTTGTCCAGCGTAAGAAGTACGAAGTCCATTATGTAGTTTCTTGTCAATCGGCTGTTATGTCGAAATAAATCTACAATACTCATAGAGAGAAAGAAACACACACTTACCTCCATGAATTAGATCTTTGGGACGTACATACAACATATGATCACAGGGCGGCATGTAGTCATCGAAACGCTCACAAGGTGAAGTACCAACAGCATACGTCATGCCCTTGTTGTAGCAGTGGATGAATGCTCCTGCTATTAATTCGTATCTCATTTTCCTTACACGTTTATCATTTACAGCTACAATTTTAGCTGCGAAAGCTGTAAACTCATTTAGAAGAGTTTTGAATGACACTGGGACCTGGAATAAATGATGCATTTAACCATACTTATTACCTCAAGTTTTAGAAAACTTTAAAGATTCTTTATAACGTCATATGGACACAAACGCAATTCAGTGTCTGATTCACTCCAGATCTTCTGGAACGATAATAGAAGAAAATCACCCCTCCTGAGATATTCTTTCAAGTGTTTGTGGGCACTATCGCGCGATTCTGTGTGTGATTGCCCAGGTTCAGCACATGCCGCTGGTAACAGCGAGCCTACAGCGACATCCAAGGGATCTAGTTATCTTTTATATAATCATATGCCTGTGGAAAATGATTCCTTAGGTGTTCGTACTTCTGAGTAAATCTGAATACAGTATGTAATTAAAAGCGAGATGCAAATGTCAGATCACTTGGTTTTTCGAGATGTTCCAAGCATTTGCGTACATCGGAATTTCTAAAGTAGAGCAAATAATTTGTACAGTTAACATTTACCTTCTTGAAAAATGCTCTAAAGACATGAAATGAACACAGTATTATGTTGACATGACTATGCGTAGACTGTACCGCGAAAATTTCGGTCGCTGACGAATCCATAACGGAAGTGCGCGTATAATAAGTAAAGCACATTATGTCTTTGAAGCACTCCAGTAGTCGTATTACGTCTTCGCGTCGTTTTCGGCTGCAAAGAACATACATAACAATGTGCCCTTGCTTTAGTGTGCCCTTGTCTATCAGTAGCCGCTAGCTGGAATGGTGAAAAACTTGAGGTAAATTTTCCCTATTCGTTAACCAAGTTTTGTGGTCTGGTAAGTCGAATCAATACATACTACCTATAGCAACGCGTGATAGATAACTATTTGCTCCCTACGACTAAAGCAAACATAGATATGTTCCCATTTACATTGAATACCCTTATTTCAGTGTTTGCCTGAACGCTCTGTAAAATGTTCTTGATATTTCTAGTGTCTAAACTCAATTAATTAAATGTGAGTTTGACAACATGGGTACAACTGTGATCTCACTTTGATGATATCGTCATTGTTAAGCTGTTTATGGAACTTCCAAGAAACCAGATGCCGTAAGCTACGAGTTGGCATATCACTCAATAGAAACGGCCTTAAATATAGGCGTTCACTTGATGTCAACTCTCGTCTTGAAGGATCTACAGATATATATCCTTCTGTGAAAGGATGGTCGTGTACAGTTTTAATAGAGGTGACTTTTACCTCACCATTTACTGCACGGACCCAAAATCCAGATTGACAATGACAATATTTCGACCGAAGGATAAAATCACTCGAAATAAGGCATACGGAGATGACCGATATCTTCTTTGTCTAGGTTGTGGTGGTGAGTTAGAAAATGTATGCGATTCGGAAGAATGATCATGACTACCATCATCTACATCCTAAAGACAAGCATCTGATTCTGACGAACTGCATCTCGTAAACACATGCGTTTATGCCCATAAGTACAGACATACCTGACGAAAAAACACTAGAGTCATGTGGTCATTGTTCTTTTGCATACTGACATAACATACTTAGTATGCGTAAACTGCAAAAATAATTATCAACGACAGAAGCCATATTACCTTATGTACGTCTTTCAAACAGGTCTCAAAATTGTCCCAATTTGTAAATCGTCGCAATAACATAATATCATTGAAGATTCGTCCTATATCATGCATCATCACGATTTCATCGTTTTCGTTACTTGAAGGATGTGTAGAATTACGACCTACTTCGTTATTAGTACTGCTTTAATAGACCTAATCCTAAAACTGTAGATTTGTCATGATGTAACTGCTCAATCTTTAAGGTCTTACGTAGGAGTCACATCACTCTCCACACTGGCTCACCGTATCGTAAAATCACCAATATATGATGGAGAACACATTTAGGCTGGAGTTAGAAAATTATATTTTATGTAAATAAAATCCACAAGACAACACGCAAAAATGACCACATCTGCAAGACCAAGTCACGCCATTCCATGAATTCAGTTTCGAGTGAATGTTACCGCGTCTACCATTATGGACCTCTTAGTGTTACATATTGAAATTCTATTTTCCAGTCATCTCGTGTTCAGCTTTGTTGATTGTGTGGTTAGTGCTCAGTACCACTACAGATGGACGTTATCAGACATAGTGTGGCTGTACTCAATTGAAATCTAAAAGTGTCTTGATTTGACTGCTTCTGTAAAACTTTACAAATTGTCGAAATGACGCACAAATCACTTTACTACGGTTTGATCTTCAAAGGCACAGCAACCTCCATCAGTTGACGATACCCCTGAAGCGTTACAATGGGCTGTTTGACCGTCGAATGATTCCTAACTCTGTCGTGTGATCGTGTTCGTTTTTGGCCAACATCAGCTTTTCGGGAGCCAGTCGGCGCTCTTTCGAGAACGCAGGTGGCTCTGTAGTCGTGATGTGATGTGTAACATTGCTGGTTACACGCGGTAATTTCGGTTGAAGTTGGCATATTCCAGAATACTTATCGAGTAATGATTGATGGAAGGGGTCTATCGTAAGCCTAACTATGACAGGAGATAATCTGCAGCCGGAAAAAGAAGTTACGCAAACAGATAAATTGGTGTTTCTGTCTACTAGCCTCCGTTCGCGTGTATCGATGAGTAGATTGTGGTGTTGTAGGAGGTCTATACCTATGATTGGCATAGAAACATCTACAACAACAAAATTCCAGTGAATGAGTTTACGTAAACCCACGTTAAGGTAAACGTACCTTTTACCATATGTGGCGATCGGCTTTCCGTTTGCCGTCTGTAAGTTGACAAAAGATTTGTGAAGCCGGTCGTTAGAACTCGCTAAAAGAACGCTAACTTCTGTGTCAGTATCGACGAGGTAGCGGACTTACTTTAGCACATCTGTGACGTATAACAGACAACCATGTTTGCCGGATACAGTTTCCGTTAACTTGTGCCGCCTGGGAAGCTTCCCGAATTGTTTCTCGTGTCAGTCGATTTTGAGTTCGGAAAATTGCAGGGTTTTCTGCAATTTCTGGAAGGCTTTCCATACCGGTTATGGTACCAACACCAATCGGGGTTATCTGTCTCTCGTGGTCTAAAGACAGATGGCTTACGTGAAGTGCTTCTTCGCGAGGTATGTGACCGTTCAGAATTATCTAGAATTCGTTGAAGTCGTTAGTACCTCGTAGGAAGGTTTTATTGAACTTTACACTGCTATTCCCCCCACTGCCTAGTGTTTCTTTAACTTCCGTCTCATCTTGACCACAACCAGGTGGTGATCTGAAGCTATGTTGAATGTTCACACCTCTACATAATCAATAGAAATACCGTAATTCAGCGTGAATAAACATTATATACCACAACCACAAGACTTAAAATACGTATGGTTGTTTGATTAATTCAGTCCAACAGAGATTGGTTCGGGTGTAAAGCCTCGCGTGTGATTCCCAAGGTCGCTCTTCCCTGTATCATTTATTAGGTAAACAACTGAGTAAGTTATTCTACCTCTCATTCCTTTTTATTTTAACTGCTAAACGCCACTCCGATTCATATGATTGTGCTTGCCTGTTTTTTAAACTTTCAACAACCCTAGAGCGGTATTTGATACCAACTTAAGCAAGCCTAAATCTTAGCACACACCGTCTGAAGTTACTCATCATCAAAGTATATTAAGTTTGCGTTAAAGTAGCAAATTACCCCAAAATTTTCCGTGAATTCCCCTAACTTTGGGCAAAACTACGGATTTTCATAAAACATTGGGGATAACCCCGAAAATTTTCATTGTTCCTTCCCCAAGGTTTTCACAAAGTGGACAAATTTTCCCACAAACTCTGACGATTGGGATGAATCCAGAAATTATTCCAGTTTAAAGAGGTTCCTCTCAGTTTTAGTCATTAAAATTGTATATGGTCTGGGATACTGCCCGGTTAGCCATACCGAAGCAAGTAATGATAAAAGACAGTTTATGGCATTGTGCTGTGGTATTTATTCGTTACGTGTCAACGTCTAACTGTCCTCCACAACTCCGTTAATGGGATTCTAGAGCTATTGTTACACGGTAGGTAAGATGTTATTAACTTTGGCTCGGTATTATAACCATTGAGTCCTGTTATAGTTTTCCTTTTCTTTCAAGATATGAGTTAAAGAAAATTCTGTAACAGGTAATTTCTAGTTATATTATTCCTAGTTGGGCTGCTCCTCTCATTATGATTCACCCTCACTTGTTTCATATTCCTGTATCATTTTGTCCTTTTATTATACTCTTCTTCCGTCATCAGCCACTTCAAAATCCTGAACATTTGTTATAGGTGCCATAAACTCACTTGAAATTAGACTGTATTGAAAGCAGCCACCACAAGGTTTGTATATCCCTCACGAAACCACACTTTATGTTTGCCAGATTGGATGCCTCAGTTGACAGCAGATCGGCAACTAGTTCGCTTACAGATATATTTAGTGACCATGATGAATAAATAGTTGTAAACAAAGTCGACGAACAATGAAGTAAAAATGGTAATCAACCTTAAAAAAGACTGGCGGATTGTCTGTATTTAATAAAATTCTGGTCCTATTGTACACCATAAATACCAAATAGTAAGTTGAAGCGAAAATTCAGTAAGCGGCGAGACTTGAATTTAGCGACGACCTGTGAACGAATCTTAAATGACCTTGACGATTATTAGCCAATCAGAAGACAGTATAAAGTGAGAATATATTGTAAGTAAGTAATGAATTACAGTGGATATTCTTCTTTTACATGATTTAAAAACTTGTTAAGGTTTGATAATAGTTCAGAGGCTCTGAATTCATAATGCATATTGTATAGAAACTCGTCCATAGGGTTAGTGGTTAGGGTGCTAACATGCGATCAGTTTACAACGGATTTTACAGGTTAGGGTTATGGTTAGGGTCAGGGTGGGGTTGTAGCCTGTCAATAAACACCTCTTATCTAAAATCCGGTGTAAACCGGTCGCATGTTAGTACCCTAACCTTAACCTAACCCTAAACCCTAACCTTAACCCCAAACCCTAACCCATGGACGAGTTTCTATACAATATGCATTATGAATTCAGAACTTCTAAGCCTTTATCAAACCTCAACAAGTTTTTAAATCATGTAGAAGAAGAGTATGCACTGTAATTCATTACTTTCTTGTAACATGTTTTTACTTTGTACTGTCTTCTGATTGACTAATAATTGAAATTGCTCAGACGCTTCTCATTGGCTAGTCCCTAAATTAGAGTTTCGCCGTCCCATCTGTTTTAACCTCTCATTAATCACCTCCTCTCTAAAATCCGCTGTGAACCGACCGTATGTTAGCATCGCGTGTTGAAATTGTCTCTGTGACCTTGAAATTGCTCAAACGCTTCTGATTGGCTCGCCGCTAAATTAGAGTCTCGCCCAGTAAGCTAGTAATTTGATCGGAACCCAAAATGATGAATTGTCTACTAAAAGCTTTGCACAAAATTACTTCTGTTGCGCATGGACACAGCAAAAGTTTGAGAAGTACGAATCAAGTTGGGACAGTGCTTATAGTTTGTAAAACGCGTTTGATTGTTAGACAAATTCGTTCGCGTAAACTATCTCAATAACAACTTAATAAAAACAAGTTTTGCAGTATTGTTTTACTCCCTGTGATAGTGGCCCATCAGGAAACACTATAGTATTTTTAGTTAACTGTTAAGGAATGGTGAATTACATCTAGTTACCCCGTTTTGCTAGTTTTTCTTAGCGTATGTGTATATGATGGTTTAATTATTTTTTAACCTAATCTTTTCACAGATTAAATTAATGTCGCACAAGCGTCCTGAGCACTCACTTCCTCCCGAACTGGTAAACTATCGTAGTATTCTCCCTTATTTCTAGTACTATAACAGTGATGAGGCCAAAAAATACAGTTCAAAGTGAGTTTCGTATTTCTCATTTTTTTGTAGTTCTCATATCATTGATATTCAAACGCGTATCACAGAACGGGCTTTAGAATTACTTGCGTTGCCTGAAGATGAAGCATGCATGGTTTTAGATATTGGGTAGAAAACAACAGGTTTTTCTCATTTAATAATTCAGATGCGGCTCAGGTTTAAGTGGTGAAACTATTACTGAGAATGGTCATCATTGGGTTGGCGTTGACATAAGTAAAGATATGCTTGATGTTGCATTAGACAGAGAAGTTGAAGGTAGTTTAGTACTTGGTGACCTTGGTTGTGGATTGCCGTTTCGCGGTGGATCATTTGATGGGGCCATTAGCATTTCAGCAATACAGTGGCTATGCAATGCGGACAGATCCTCTCAAAATCCTATTGCACGTCTAAGAAGATTTTTCGTCTCTCTGTACAGCAGTCTTACTCGTGGTGCACGAGCAGTTTTACAGTTTTATCCGGAATCCATAGTTCAAGCAGATCTATTGCAGAATGAAGCTACGAGAGCTGGATTCACAGGCGGTCTTGTAATTGATTACCCTAACAGTACGCGAGCGAAAAAGTAAGTTTGATTGATTCAGATGATGTTACACTGTTAGGCCGTAGCTAAAGTTTATATTGGAAATTTCTAGGTCAGGCATCGCATTCAGGGATAACGTTTTTCATCTTTAAGAGTGTTGACAAAAAGTAAAATACTTTTCTGAACTCAATCGCCTTTCGTAGAATCATTCTGTTAAAATGTAGTTTGTCCATAATGTGATAGTAATTCTCTATATTTAAAGTTTAAGATATGTATTGGGTATATACTTAACCATAGTTTAGCGTTTAATAGTGTACTTCTGGTACATTAGCATTTCTTTTTCGACCCTTATCCATCTATAATATCCAGGCTAAGTATCTTTCTAATTGCTATGAAATACTAGTACTTCAATTTATATGTTAGTATGAAAATTCCGGGTCAAAATTTAAACCAATTTAAGCCACTTTAAAAAACTATCACTAATTGTTGTAAAGCGTGTGTGGTTTAAAGCTGGGAACGTAAATCAGTATTTCGTTATACTATCCATAGGTAAATTCTCTAATTGCACTTTAGAAAGTGGTAATCACTCAGCACCATCACAATAAAAGCATGCTGGCGAAGTAAAGTTTCATGTACTCAAGTCCTAGGTGCACTTTTTCGTTAAGGTTGTTAGTAATATCTGGCTATTCAAACCGAGGCAAGTAGTGGACCTTCGGCCACACTTCGGTTTCCCAAGATCTCCAGTCGACCTGAATGGCAAGTTAATGTAAGTCCTCCAGCTTTTTACGAAGTTGAAAAAGCTATAGGAAATCTGAAGCACAGGAGAGCAGCAGGCTCTAACAGGTTTACCCCTGAGATTTTTATTGATAGAGGTCCAGTATTAGCAGTGAGACTGACTGAGTTTTTAGGTAGAATCTGGGAACTGGACGTAATTCCATCTGATTGTTCTCAATCACTGATTGTACCTGTCTATAAGAAAGGACAAAAGTCCTGTGTGGCAATCACGGAGGAATGGGTTTGACTAGTATCGTATCTAAAAAATTAGCTTCAATAATACTTCGACGCCTAACTAAAGCCCGTGAAGAGCAGATTAGAGAAAACCAGACTGGTTTTCGACCTGGACATGGTTGTATAGACCAGATATTCATACTACGCCAGGTCCTAGAACATAGATACACATTCAGGCACTTCACAATCGTAGTATTTCTTGACCTTAAGGCGGCATTCGACTCTGTTGATCGTAAGGTTCTATGGCAGTGTTTGTCACTAAAAGGAGTACCAAAGAAGTACATCAACCTTGTACAGGCTCTCTACTGGAACACAACTGGTAGAGTGCGAGCTTATGGCGAACTGTCATCAGAATTGATTACCTCACGTGATGTTCATCAGGGCTGTTCACTCTCTCCATTCTTGTTTAACTCTTAATTTTATTTTTTATTTGAACACATAAATATCGGTACAAGGGGGCACCAAATATATATGCGCCACACCTTTTAACTTTATCGTAGACGTGCTTTTAGAAATGACACTCCTTATCTGACTTTCCAGGGGTTGAACTTCTAACAGGAGATTCACTTTTTTGACTTAAAATATGCCGATGACATAGTTCAATTTGGTGAAGACGCTGACAAAATGCAGAGTCTTCTGACCACTCTAAGCAACAATGCAAGCATGTTCGGCATGCGATTCTCCCCCTCGAAATGCAAAATGTTGCTTCAGGATTGGGTTGCATCGACACCCGAACTAATGATAGGGAGTGAAGTGGTTGAGCGTGTTGGCGGCTCCACTTATATTGGGAGTCTCATCATCCCTTTTGGTCTGGTGTGTGACGAAATCTCAGCACGGATACAGAAGGCTCGACTACCTCTTGCCAACTTGCGTCATTTTTGACGTAGGCGAGATATCCGTCTACCAACCAAAGGACAGGTTTGCTGCACAGCAGTTCGTTCTGTCCTACTTTATGGCAGTGAAACATAGTCGGTAAGAGTAGAGGATATTCGTAAGTTTCTAGTATTCGATCATAGGTGTCTTCGAAGCATTACTCGTATATCCCTGGGACCATCGAGTAAGTAATGTAGTTGTTAGGAAACGGGTACCAGGTAAAGATGGCAAATCAATTGATGAAGTAGTGAAACTGCATCAGTTGAGATGGCTGAGACACGTGTTACGTATGCCCAACCAGCAACTGCCCGGAAGTGTGACTCCGCTTGTAGGCGGAGTCCTTTAGACACAATGTCAACTTGACTACACTTGCCTTTGCATTGTCTTCCACTTGTTTCAACTTTTGTTTTGCGACACAACTTACAGCTAAGACATTTCGGTTTTTTCGTATCATCTAGTTTCACCAAATAACTGCTTTCCTAAAATTTCTCTTCAACACAAAACCATAAATTTGAGTTCTGTATTTTAAGTAAATACCTAAATTATTATTAAGGATCTAATGTTCTTTACAAAAGCAACAAGTTACCCCGAAGTATGTGTCGGTTTTAGCGTACATAATTATTTTACTGAAGTTCATTCTGTTTTTGACACAAATTGACCAGTCATTCATTTTTAGGTACTTTTTGGTATTGGATGTTTGCAGCACTCGCCGTATCCCGCAGCCACTAACAGAAAATAATGAGATGTCAAATCATAATCGGAACAAATTAGAGACCTTGAGAGAATGTAGACAGATGAAGAAATTGCCAAAGCACAGTGTAGCCTGGATAAAACAAAAAAAGCAACGTGCCAGGGATCAAATGAAAGAAGTTGCTCATGACTCTAAATATACAGGACGCAAGCGTCGTGCTAAGTTTTGACATGGTTTCTCATTAATTTCTTTAAATTTATGACCTGTATATTGTGTACCTCGTTTATAATCATCATGGGATTTGACTTCAAAGTTGTTCAATCGATTCTCCAACACCTTCGTGTTTTTTGATATCTAATTGTCAGTGTTAAAATTGTGAAAACTTTGTAAACATTTAATTATTCGAGTTCCCCCCTCAGATTTATTAGTTCGACTGTAAGTTAATATCTTCCAATACATTAACTTCATACTTAAGAAATATGTGATAGTTTTCCAATCAAAATCGTGTTTTGCAATTCTCTAAGTGATTTATTAGCTAATGTTTTATGTATTTACCGCGTGCAATCGAAATCATTACTTGCGTGTCGATCATTAAGACTTACATTGAATGATATATAATTTTGATTGAGTCCGTCTTTCTTGTTACTTGTAACGTTTAATGACGTAAAATGAGTGTCCACACTATGAGTGGCATGTTCTGAAATGTTTGTTGTACCCTTTACTGTTATCACTGTTAATCTTATAAAGCAATATGGAATATCTGTATTTATTGCGAATATTTGATTTCCCATAATGTATTCATGAGTTTCGTTGACAAATTAAAGCGTTATTCTCAAATAATGTCGTTACTGAACTAGTGAAGAAAAATCAAAGGGATTATTATGAAAAAATTTTCCGTCAATGTCTTAATTAGGGTATATATTTGTTTTCTATTGGAATTAACGGGTGAAGTGACCTAGTTTGGTGAGGTGAGAAAAAGATATTGACGTTGGCCAATCCAATTGGAAAGACTGGTTTAAAGCAGCAGAACCAAGATTCTGGAACACTCGATAATGCGAATGATAGTAAAGTTATTTTTAGTTATTCAGTTATACGTAGCATAGAGCCATTGCACATATATGTATCAGTTCGAGCCGCTGTGCTATATCAGCATAATGAAATATCGAGAAAATACCAGGGTATTAGAAGTAAAAACAATTAATGACTTCATGAATTGGTGTTTTGGTTTTGCCTCGCGATGCTTTCTTACAATCTACTCTTATATCAGCTGTCATTGTGCGTGGACGTGAGCGGTTATTGGGTATACGCAATACATATCCTAACCGCTGTTGTTGATGAAGTACAATTTAACTGATCGGTCCGGGTTCTTCACCTATTACCCTGTGTTAAACCTCGACTTTGTTCACTTGGCAGTTCAACATACTAGACCAATACTTCGAGAGCTACGACCAAATAACGATAGTCTACTAATATCACCCATTTTTAAAGGCCATATTTCATTATTTTAGAGCTAAAAAAAGCTAAGGGCTGCTTGTTAAACTCGTTCATTGGTTGGCAGCCAGGTATCTCACATCATCCCCCAACAAAGGCTGATAAGACTTCCAGGATATTAGTGATGAAGCAGGTTGAGAATCACAGAAGTGTTAATAAGTAGGGTACGGAAACAAAGGATAAAGTCAATTGGAAATGTAATTAGAACACTAATATAAAGATCCCTTCTATGTATACAAAAGGTATTATTTCGATTGATAGAAATATTATTTTTTGAAAGCAGGCGTATATTTATTTGAAACGTAATTTATACTACAAAGTATAATTTCTCCAAAAACAAGATGTGAACTCTATCGAAATGTCAGATTAACATGCAAAATACGAAGTGGATGGTTGTAACCTAACTATCGGAAAAAGATGCTTTCAGCTTCATTCCTTGAAAGCAAACCATCTTAAAAAGATTTCTTTATAAAGGGGGTACGACACTTTTCAATTCCTAACCTTATTCTTTAATAGTCGTTTAGAATAATTGTTTATCATGTCACTTGTTATTCCTGATAAGTGGTCCTTGAAACTAATGATTTTATTCAAGCAACAGTATTTTGAGAAAGGAAAGTACATTCAGATTTGTTTCTATTACTATATGTTGTCAGCTTGACGACTCCTTGGGTCTTCCAGTTGATGTAGATTATAAGTATACTCAACAGTACTGGCAAGTTATTTACGAAATGAATCATCACTAGTGACAAACAACTAGTTTGTGAAACAAAGTCTTGTTATGGTAATGACATAGTTTGTTTACCCAAGAAACTTGTACGAAAAACAGAATGCGATAGGCGGAAGAGTTGATGCGCCTAAAAACGTATCAATAATTATCGCTCACTGATAAGGTGAAGACGCATAACTATGAACTTGACAATTAGGTTTTATAAACAAACATTTTGAGGAATAAGTAGTACTTGGTAATCTAAACGGAAACAGCACGAGTTGGTTAGATGAGGACTTTGCATTCGTAAGTTTCAAAGGAGGTAGTGGTAATTACCGTTTACTGAATGCATCCGAGTTGGTTGGTTTCATGTTTTAACTTAGTTACAATCTAAATTAAAACGATGTTCACTGGTGTTCAAACTAACGGTTCATTAACCTACCTAAAATACCATGTAGGAGGAATACATCTGTCGGTCCCATTATAATAACAAACCCTCAGTTTGAGAGAACTATTAGCCATTCGCATCGATTAACTGCATTCTTATCAAGATAGTCAATGACTGAAGATGTATCGTGTTTTAAACATCGGAATATTCTTTGTTTCATTATACCGGTCATATAACAAGGTTCCCTTAGTACGCAATCCAACCTTACTTGAACCTGATGAACGACTATCTCTAGGGATTTGGAAGAAAATGAGTAGAAAGTCTAATTGATTCTTAGCACTACCTAACTTTGACAAATACCTGCTAAAAGAGGACCACAAGTGCCCTAATTTGTTGGTAACACTCGAGCTAATACAGACAGAAAAGACGTTCACTTTAAAGTGATTTTGACGAATTTGAGCGATCATTTTGGCCGTTGCGCCTGTGGGATTACACCTAATAAAGAACCCAACAGTGTGGATATTCTGTAATGTTATCAGGGTCATACAAATAGATTAACAACAAGATATTAAGCTGCAGCTTATGATCAGATGTTATGTACGATACTATCCCACTTGAACCCCAAAGTATACATAATTGACGTCTACTACTCGGCCTTCCAAGCACTTACAGGTACTCGAGGTTTTAAGTTTAACCCAACTCAGTTCTGTATCCCTACGTTAATTCCCTGCATAGCAACTAAAATGAACAGATCCAGACAATACATAGCAAAATACAGACCATTCAGTTGCTAAAAAGATTAACTAACAGGGATATTTCTATGAAACATCTGTACGGGGAAGACAATAGTCTCATTATAAATGCGTATATCCGCACAACTAGAGTACATGAAACTAGTGACAAATAAACCCGTAGGTACTACTCATGCAGGACCCAGGGCACATCTCGCCCAAACACAAGACCTGTCCACTGCGCTTTCTGACAACGTACTAGGAAGCGCTTAACATGTCAATGAAACTAAGGCCAGAAGCTTGAGATTTTTTCATGACCGATTAGTTTTTAAACTAGCAAAACTGCTAGTAGTCTTGTTCTTGCGACTGTCTATGCACACTGACGAACTATCGTTACCTGTAACGGAAGAAGATATATAGTATGACACCAGTTCCTAACATACCATGACGTAAGCATTAATATTGGATCGAATGGCATGAGGTAAAGTATTGAATTATCATAAGGTATGCGGAATATAGAAAATTAGTAACATCTCGGAATATCTAGTGTTCCTTTTTAACGTAGAAACAGCAAGTTTAAAAGTTAATTTACTTGACGTTAGTGTGAAAATAATTATTACCGGTTATACAAAATGATAAATGGCAGATATGGGTTGATAAAAGTGTGTATTATAAGATTATACACTAAAATCGAGGACGATCATAGTAAAATATACACTTATTCCAATGAGATAATCAAGGATCTCGATAGGAGATAGAAAATAAATAATCGGGAAAATAAATAGACCGAGACAGCTAGACAATTAAATGACGACATCACTGAATTTTAATAGCATGAAGTTTATCTCAACAGCACTAAACTGGATTTGCCTCTCCATCACTGTCGAATTTGAGATCTGCTAGGGTTTCCATTAGATATGAGCGAAGTTGAGGCAAAGATGCTACACGTCCATAGAAATCGTCCACACGATACTTGTTAAATATCGCCTGCGAATATTATAGATTAGTAAAGTAAAACATACTCTATATTTCGAAGGGGAATTTTGACGATAAGCAGCCCGTGCGAGAATCTGCAGATGATCACGTATATCATCCAACTTATAACCGCTAAGATAAGACAGTTTGTCACACCAAGCCCTTTCAAGTTCTGAAGTGCCTAGACACAGCGCTCGAGACAGACACAACGCAATCACAGAGCGGAGGTTCCCTGGAAGATGTGCAAGATCATACTCTTGTATCGTAAGTTCCAAGAAATATTTAGCCAGGTTGTGCATAGTCCTATCAGCCTGGAAGAAAAGGTCAAATAAAACAAACTTACATCCACAGCCTTTGACAAGCGACGCAAAAATACTAATGGAGTTGGAATCGACAAATAGAAATCAGTCGATTGTAATATAATTTGTTCGGTGTTTCGTATGTCACTTTTAGAATAGGTATTGTTTGTAATTGATGAAAAGTCGCTTATATCGGGTGGATACATTTCTTCGAACTTGGCAGCAATGAATAATGATGCCACGCCTATAAGTTGAAACCCATCCTTTGTCAGGCTTTTTGAATTTTTCTATACGCATATAATTATAAAGACACAACATACCAATAAATAACGGTCCAAAATACCAACACATAAATAGAGGGTCTCAGGTTGCAGTTTATAACTGTAGTGTACTTGGACAAGCCAGTTAATTAAGATGTAACGCATTCTGGGAGTGATTTCACAATTTGTGGCCATGTAGTCAGCTACTAGGGGTTGTACTAACAGTTCTCTATCTTGAAGATAATTAAATATTCGTTCAGAATAAGGGTAAACCGAAGCGGCATCCCCGTAGTCGTTTCGGTCAACCTCCAAAAATTCCTCCGCCAACTGAGACGCTAAACATTCTGAACGAATGAGTCTCCGGCTGGCTCGAAACTCCTTGAGTTGATCAGTTTGTTTTTGAGTCGTGACGTCAGGAGTTGTACCATCGATACTCATGTCGAGTTGTTTTTCTTTTTCTGGAGCGAAATAATAACGTGATTACTAATCTCACTTGGTTCCAAACATTTTTCATCCTTCAAGCCTTTTTGTTTCTCAGCTTCTTTTGGCAAGATACTAGTAGCCTTATTCTTAATATCACCTAGGGCTGCGCGTGACCTCGTTGACACACCCGTGCTTTTGACTTTTTGGACGAGATTATCCTTAACACCAACGGCAGCATTTTCATTAGCCTGAAATTATTCTAGGAAAACATCTTTTCCTTACGTAGACCCGAAACGGCTGCGAGTCAACATTATGGCGATTTTCAAAATGCAGCTGACCGATCAAAGGCGTACCACCCGCCAAATGCAACGAACTGGTCCTGAGAATTATTCAAACAGCGAAGTGGTTCAAATGGTTCAAATAGTTTTGGACAGAATAGAAGAATCTGTCGCTTCACAAGCTACCGTGTTTAGTAGCAGTTCATCATCAATACTTCCAAGCAGGAACCTAATTATATTGCCGATAAAAGAGGAAAAATAGTAGGATTTAGATTCCAGATTCAGATTTGTGTAGTAAGGACAGAAGGCATACGACCTATGTTATTCCTTTTCTTGTATGTCTGTATGAGTGTCCATTCTACTCTTTATTGAGTCATTTGAAGGTGCGGACACCACTGTTTTGGGTAACAGGTCCTAAGTATTGATGACTTGGTGTGCAAACCTGTGTGCTACGGGTATTTTGTTAGTTCTAAGCTTTTCTACTCGCCTGCTATTTCCTTTGAGATGTCCTGGTCTTGTGGGGAAAAAAACAGAGAGTATATTAGGTAAAAAATCATTCTCAGTATTCTGTACATCAAAATCAGATCACCTCTTAGTCTGCGACAGGACAGTGTAAAGAGGTTTAGCTTTCCAAGCCGCTCTTTGTATGGCAAACCTCGTAGTTCTGGAATTACACTGTGAAGCTGCCCTCTGCTCTTTTTCCGGGATATCCGAGTCGCTTTTTAAACAAGGGCTTGAAGCCTGAACGCAGTTCTCAAGTTTAGTTCTCACTAAGGGTGCGTACTGTAGTGAACATGGTAGTATCTAGCTTAGTGAATGCCCGCCATAAAGCCCAGAGGGTTCTAAATCCCTTAGCTGCAACTTCCCGGGAGTGGGCCACGGTCTTAAGATCATGACTCACTGTCATTTCAAGCTCCTTGTGAGACCAGACCACGGGTACAGGTACTTCCCCCATGCTGTACCTTTGAACCTTTGTATCCCCAAAGTGCATATAGACACACTGCCGCGTTGATAGGCATCAGCCACTCTTCAGACCAGTTAATGACTATATCTAAGTCCTCCACCCTTTAATTATTCCCTATTTATTAATCACTCCCTCTCACATTCACAGCCACATTTGGCCAAATCTTGTACAAAGGTTGTTTCATATTTTATGGTACGATGTGGTCTGTCTGGTTGGTATATAAACCCAGTATGCTTGAAATAAATGATTCACATTGAGGAGGCTGAGATTGGTGTTCTGGACTTAACTGACTGGGCTAGGCTGGAAGCAGGACCAATAGGGATTATAGACCACTCGTACTTGTTTTATGCGTCACTGGTTTGATCGATTATTCGCCCTTCTCTGATTGGCGGTATCGTTGCGTTATCCAATATACAGAGCATAAAGGTTCACCAGTTATTACATGTAGCATACCATTAATTCTGTGGAGAACTTCTTCTTACAATCCACAGTGGTTTGGGGATCGTTTTGCTCCGGACCTTTACAATTTGAAAACTCTTATGTACGAGGTTTCTTTCACCGTTTCGGCGGCGCTCATTTATTTTTACTTTTCATAATACTGTCAACTAAGCTGATATTCTCACGGACGTCGAATCCGGATCCCATCAGTTTGCGTGAGTTTTCCAGTATCAGGATTCTTTCTTCAACCTTAGCAAGTTATCCTCCAACAGACGGCTTTTCTGAGTACATTCAGAATCCACCTTTTGTCCTATTCTATAAAGCTTACAGGTGCTAACTCCTGAAACTGTTACTGGGAGCACCTTGCTTAGTGATGAGGTAATGTGACTGAGTTTGTTCTCACTTATAGCACTTGGTTCTTTTTCGGAAGATTCTCCTAACTTATGAAAAATGACTTACATCCCAACAAGGGGGCCGTCATAACAGTTGTGGTATTTTAGTTCCTGAAATCATCTCTTTCGTGCAACCGGATCTCAATTAAGCATAACCACAGTAGTCATATTCCGTTTTCTTACCTTTCTCGTCCTGCGTGTGACTGTGAGTCACTAATTTTCCTTATTTTGTCTCTTAATCACATATACTACATCCCTCAGACTTAGCTTCCCCATAGTTTGCTTTGCGCTGATATGTGAACTCGGAACTGAAACCGTAAATTTGCATACCGTAGTACTGTCTATAAGTAGTTTATTCTTCTAAGCGCTTTTACTTTTCCCTTGTGACAATGCCTATTTCCTTAATCCTTAAGAGTATGCCGAGTTTTCTCTTAAAGGACTTCTGGAAAGTCGCTTGGACTAGCTCAGCTGGCGGCGAATTCCAGCATTTGACTGCTCTTAATGGGTCATGTCTACAGTCTGCAGTTTCTGAGAGTTAGTTATTAGGTTTGTATTGGAACTAAAGTCAAGTAATTGTTTAATAGAATGTTCAGGAGTATTGGCGATGCTGCAAGCCATTAGAAGATGACCTCTGTACTCTAATGTATAAAAGTTTAGTGATTGGAGGCGCTAATCATAAGGTTTGGATCTGAGTCCCAAAACTGATTTTGTGACTCGCCTTTGGATACGTTCCGGAGTGTCCTTATACTTTTAGAGTGTGAGAGGAGATACTATGATTCCGTACTCAAAGTGGGAACAAATAAAACTGTTGAAGATTAAGTTCCGCTATTGTTAACAGTTTTTGTGACCTATTCGTTCATTTACTTTATTGTTTCTCGACTGATCTGACTTCCTTTAGGGTATATATATGGAGAGAGCTATAATCATAGGTTGAAAAGGTGCAAAAATCGTTGTTAACGTGAGGTAAAATTAATAGCAGGCTCTTGCGTACAATGTTTTTATCCTCCTAGGTTCTGCATTTTGGATAGTAAATGGAACAATTAAGTTTTGAGCGTTAATTCATCCAGGTTGTCCACTTCCTGGATAGTCGTCAAAAATATTTCATCTGTTGCTTCGTAGACGGATTAATTTCTGCATTTACGTTTCTAGAATAGTTAAGGAAATACAACTTTCTTGGAATCGTCTCCCATAAGTGACTAAACAATGTCGATCTCATTAGGTTCTGGGATCCAACCACCGATTTTATGAATAAAAGTATGAGCATATGCTATTTCAAATATGCTTTTTCAAGTCCTGAACTATACTCTAATTTTGATATTTGTAAAGCATGAAGACTCGAGTTTCGTGTGTGTTCTTACCTGATTGGCTCTGTATAAGTGTCTACAGATTTAAATATATTGTTTATTGTTCTTTCGGAAAGTAGTTCATATATTTTCTTTCCATGATATCGAGATCAGTGATCTACTGAGCTACCGTTTGTGGTGAGTGCAATTTATAAACACTCAGTAAAGTATTTTATTTTTTCTAGTGATTCTCTCGCGCAGCCTGTGATTCATAGAGACAACTTAAGAAACATTATGTGTTCATTGTAGTCTGGATGTCTGGTTGGGTAAATTGTAATTATTAACAACTGTCTAATAAGTGAAAATTCACGTCAAATGATCATTTTTAGGTATTAGTATTAACCTAAGCCTATAAAAATCCTCATCATACTGATTAAGAATGACGTTATTTGACGATAATCCGTTTTCTAATGTTTCTTTGTGCTGAATCCCTTAGATTACGTTAGATAGCGACTTCATTTTACTTAAATGAGCTTTCCGACTTCTTTATTCCCGACGTTTTCCGTTTTATGAAATGTGTGATGAAATCCTATAGAACTAAACACAAATCCCTTTAAAGTTTAGTTCATCAGCAATCCGTTTACCTCACAATTTGAAAAGAGCTTCGTATACCTTCGATTTGTAGAGGCTCACAGTTCGGTAAATTCTAAGCCCACGAGATAGTTTATCAAAAACATTTAAAAGCATGTCACTTTTTCAAGGTACTACGTTCCATATACTATCCACATTCAGAGGTTGAATTCTATGAATAAGCTGAGTAAAGTCTGTCGACAGAGTAAGCCATAATTTCAATACTGAGTAAGCCTAACGTATTGGATACAATTTGTACATACAGATTTGATTATTCATGTACAGATTTTCAGTCATCATTTTGACAAAATAGCTTATTAAGTGCCTACTCATTGGACGAGAACGAAGGGGGAAGTCAACTATTTATAAGGATTGACTATACGAACCCTTTACTTTAAAGGCCTATGCTTTTCAAAATATTACGAGATCAATTTCCCTTGTAGACTCGGATTATGCTGATTTCAAAATCGTCTTCAGTTGAAGAACCTAAAGTGGTCATTACTCCTCACATATCAGTTGTTTTGCTCTTGATACGTGACTTTTAATGAAATTTCTTATCATTCAGTCTAAATGTATTATCCGAAATTTATACTTAACATACACAAATTAGTTTTGAGGCTTAAAGTTCGTACATTTAAAAATTTTGAGAATGATCAGTACTTCATTATGTTCAATCTTCAGTTTCTCACTGACAGATGGGGAGGAATATAATTTGCTTCACACATTTTTTTAGTATTTTACTCGCAAACTGATTTTTCAGGTAATACAAAAACGATAATAAATAGTGATTTCATTCAGTTTCATATATTTCGTCATAGTGAATTTTTCTTACGTGAAGAGCGGTGTGTGGCAACAAATTACATTTTAATATGAATTCAAAAGTGTAATTTTTCGAAACATATCTAATAAGCTTTCCAGGCACTAAAGTTTTCTATTACTTCATGCATTACGACAATCTTTATGTCCATCATATACTGAGCACTTCCCTCCCTGGTTTTTGGTGGATGGATAAAAAGCAAAGCGTGACTAGAGCTGTAGGTGTTGTAATAATAATCTCAGTATTTAGCGTCATAAGCCCTACATTTACAAATGCACATTGTGGATAAACAATTTGACTGCAACATCTGAATCAGATGGCCTGATAATTGTGGTAGGGTGTAATTCAACAAGCATCACTGAACAATAGCATTATCGACTTTTAGTGTCAAACATTGTCCAAAGTCTATGCAGATACGGTTAGTGCATATAAAACACATTCATTGAAACTAGTAGCACGTATCGTAACAGGTAATTAAACTGATTGATATCATGAGTCAGTTGAAGCTAGACCACCATGGAGAACCTGGAAGCACTGGACGGCCGTTTCGTCCTAGAATAGGACTCCTCAGCAGTGCGCATC